ATTACCGTATATTATACATATTATAGTTTTCACCTATAACGTTTATAATACGACGACAACTTTATAGGTATTGATACTGAGTGTAATCCACGATATATCGCGGAATATTCAAATTATTTAAATAAACCGCAACGATACATTATAGTTAGGTTAATGGTAATAATAAAACGGCATTGTAAAATATTTTTTCGTCTGTAAAAAAAAAATCTCGCCTGGATTTATGTCTAAGGACATATATTTTATATTGCGCTTACACATAAAATTATATTTCTTTAATATATATTATGGTGGACAACAAATAGTATTGTCACTTGGTTACTTTTATTAAGATTATATATTGCAACTACTACTATGTTTATTACAAGGTTATTTGTGTATATACTTTATTCATTATAAATTCAATTTGAATGTAATTACCTATATAGTTTTCAATTTGGTACATACCCATTACACATATCTTATTTATATATGAATAATTTAACAGGTTTAAGCATAATATACAATTTTGTAATACATCTATATACCTATATACGTATAAATGACAATGGTACCTATAGAGGAATACTTTTAGTTTTTATATTGTTTAAAATTTAAAATGTCTTATCTTATTAATGTAAATATAATACTTGTGTAGATAAATAAGTAGCATTAATTTTTAATTGTTGAACGAAATATCTACCATATATTACGATACAGTGACGAAATGAACTTAAAATAACTCAGAAGAAACCTATAATCCGGTGTTTGTCAATTACGCCGTATTTGGGTTGTGATTGCCTCTATTGAATACATCTATTACGACAGTGCAAAGATAATATTCTTAAGGTATACATCAATAGCGCAGTAGGATTTTTGACATATTTAAATCAATTGCGCCATTAAAAAATTTATTGAAATTAAAGTAAATACAAATTTATAAAAATTGTCTTATGGGTTTATATTATAATAAACAGATTTAATATTTGTCCAAATCTTGTTTTATCTTGAAATAATCAAACATATATTATAAATGTATAATGTTAAGAATAATAGTTTTCCAAACATACCTTTGAGTAAAACAAATTAAACGCATTTCAATCTATTTTAGATTCTGAACGGAACAATGAATGTATTGGTTTTACAGTAATGTTTATTTTTTTTCTCGATCGGTTGGGCAAACTTTATTATCACAAATTTGGTTCCAATTTTCATGTAAAGTACTTTTTTTGAAAGTAAATTTGACTGAGCTAGTACTTTAAAGAGGTCATATTTTGATTTTCCCAAAGGTTTTTATAATAAATGGGAAAAACGGGAAAATGTATTATTTTCAAATCGTAAATTTTACGGCCTTTCAAAACATATATAATCGAATGCCGCTCAGAATCGTTTTTGGTTAGAAATAGTTAATAGTTGGACATATATATACGTTAAGTTTCCCCTCTACCTTTTCGACTTCTCACCTATAATCGCGCGAAGTACGTCTGTCTTTTAATTACATTACTTTTATCCAGTCATAATGAATTCTAATGTTTATGTAGGTAATTAACAATTAACAAGTAAATCGTATAAGAAATTATAAATATTTTTTATTAACTATTTCTAATTTTTTTTTTTATTTATACATGTACTATAATATTATTTTATACAAGTCGTATAATACAATATAGTAAAATGTGTAATATTCAATTTATATTTCTATATCGCTATATTCTAGTTACACCCTAAATAAAAATTTATTAGAAGGTATAATACTTATCGCATCCCGGGGCACGTCCGAATTTTTTCCCCACCAACTGTGATATCCAAAATGTCTATAATATTATATGGGCTTATCGTGTGGATATTATTAATTTAGTATAAACACTATAATTATTACGTTTAAACTTCGATAATTGTTTTGTGTATTCTGTTATGTAGACAAACATAATTATTGCCACATTGCACTGTTGACGATTTGTCGTTTTATCAATACCGTAATATTTATTTTTTAAACAGTTTTTTTTTATTTATAACAATTAAAAAATTACAAAAAGCATTCAGAAACAAGCAAAACAATATTTTTAACCTACCTTAGTAGATCCTAAATCTTTTTGAATTGGTACGGTGACTCGACTATTGTTTAGTTTTTTTTACTATCATGATGCGACTAATGTCACCCATAAAGATAACCGGGGAAAAATTCGGACGAAATCGCTGCTGCAGAACGCAATTGGTGCAATCAGAGGCAGTTACACAGGGTTAAATGAGAGGGACGTATCTTCCACATTAAGTTATTTTTAAAAATATTTAATTTAATATATAGAGTGATTTTTAAGCATTCTCATTTCTCATCCTATTTTAATATTTAAATTATACATAAATTTAAATTCTGATATTAAAAAAGGATATTTTTGAACATTAAGATTTTGCACAACTCTTAAGGAGTATCATGTGACAATACCAAATTTGGTTTTTGTTATATGCATGTTTGTTTTAAGAGAGAGTAATGATTATTTCAAAGTACAGATTGGTAATATACCATTATAGAACTACATATTGTTTCTAAAATTGTCCACAAAAAAAAATTATTTTCTCCGGTTTTTCCAAAATATTATAAAAACCGCTTAAAAAATTTAAATATTACTTTCTTAGATACCAAATAAGTACAATATTCTACAAATAAGGTATCTTGTCATTTTTCGATTAGAGCAAGATTTTTAAGAAAAATGTTGTTCAGATACAAAAAGAAAAACGGACATATTTTGCACTATGGGTGGGCCACTATTTCAGATGAGAAGTTGGAAAGTTAACGGAGAAATTTAAGGTATATCTGTAGACAACAATTAATCATTGCTAACGAAAAGCGATACTGAACGACATTTGATTATACATGTTTTGAAAATAATTTTCGTCAAAATTTGATTTTAAAATTCTCATAAAAAAAAACTTAAAACTCAATTTTTTTTTTTAAGATTACTTAGTACGACTTATAATAAACCTGCTTTAAAATTTTCAAGTAATTCTGTTAAGTCTAATAATTTATCTACAGAGTACCTACCAAATAAAAATTACTTGCAAAATTAAAATGTCTATAAATAGCTTAAAAATTGCTCAAATGTTCTAAAAATTTGACACGTCTAGAGATAACAAATATAAATTTATTGTTAATATTTTAAGTCCCTACGAACATTTCTAGCAGAATTACATTAAAAAAAAAATTTTAAATAATAAAATAATTATTTACGTATTTTTCGGGTTCGCTCAGTTATTAAAAATACTACTTAGAAAATCAAAAAATTTCTCGGTCACCAACTAGATAAAAAATTTAACATAAATGATTTCTTGATGTTTTTCTATTGGAGCAATATTTATAGTAGAAAACATAAGCCGTATAAATTTAAAATAATAAAATCGTAACGCCGCGGCCGTAAATTTGTCAGTTTTCATTTTACGTTTTTTTTCTGGTTTTTTCCTAATCATTAATAAAACTACTGAGAAAATCCAAAAGCCCATGACTTATTCAAGGACTAGATAATTCAACAAAAAAAGGTCTCTTGTCGTCTATTCAATGGAACAATATTTATGGTAGAAAACTTAAGCCGTAAAAATTTAAAATAATGAAATCGTGTCGTAATTTGAAAAAAATCATATATTTAGTCTTTTTTAGTTTTTTCTAATTATTATTAAAAATACTTTAGATATCAAAAAATGCTTTCCTCTGTCAGTGGCTATGTGTTAAAAGGAACAAAATCGATCACATATCATTTTTCGATTGGAGTAATATTTCTGGTAAAAAACATACCAATGTTGAACATATTATTAAAATAATGAAAACGGTAACGCCGCGGCAGCGAGCCGTAAATATTTGCCGATTTACCTATAATTTTCTTTCAGGTTTTTCCCAATTATTTCGAAAACTCCTTGAAAAATAAAAAAAATGATCTGCACCAAAGAGACACAATTAGCTTTCAGAATAGGTGCTCTAGTTTATACTTCGGAACAAGTTTTCCGATAGAAAAGTTATTCGTGAAAAGAAATACATGAACATAGTAAAACTAATAGATCCCTCGCTACGTTCCAAATTTAAAAATCGAAAATCAATCGCTTCTCAAATACTGTGCTCTTTTCGCTACCCTGCTATCGTTTTACAATGTTACGAAAACAACTGTTTATTATTTAATATTCGTCTTAAAAATAATTTATATTAAAATAATAAGTATAATATTATATTATATTATATTGTAATATTGCGCATAATAATATCTTAACATCGAAGTATAATTATATTGATATCGACATATCGTTAGGAATATAATATAGTACACGGTGAAGAAATTTTGTATTTTATGTATTATAATTACACGTGTATTGGTAATAATAATTATAATAATAGTATAAGTAACAATGACCTAATTAATAATAGGCAACATTCGAAATACTAGTACCTACCTATCTATCTACAATCGAATATTGTGATGGCTAACTGTGAAATTAGTTTTTATTATTATTTTGTATATGAAAAAAAAAAATGAATATATAAGAAACACAGTTGTGTATTATAATACAGTTATTAATATATAATTATAAATTCACAAAGTTTCTGTCGGTCAAAAAATGCTATTGTTTTATTAAGTAAGCACAACTATAGCCGTTTTTCAACCGAATCGTAATAATTGGGCAAGTTCGTGTACCTAGGTCCCATCTATACGGTTTGGCGATTACGTCAAACTGCAAGAGTATACCTACCTGTATAGAGGTTATAAAGATTAATAACTTCTAATTTTATATTTGCATATTATGAAGAGTCCTGCATAAATAACGAGTTTTTCTTGATGCTCGTTAGATACATATTATAGTACATGCATATATATATATATATTTATAATTGTATACAATAGGTATACACAACTCGCAAATGTATATAGGTATAAGGTATATAATATATAAATCAATAATGATTATTACGAACAATCTCCGTGAAGGTTAGGCTGAGTTCCCTTTCTTTCCGACGTCGTCCATAGGTATTAAGTATATATAATTATATTACTCTACGATGTACTCTTTATGAAGTAACCGGCAATATAATATAATACAATAATACGAAATATATTGTTGAATTGGACAGTCATCAACGACTACTTTACAGTATTCCGCCAGAAACCGTGAGGAACGTTCGCGATTTCTGAAACTATAATAATATCTGCAACATAAAGTACTAAATACAGGTAAAATAAAAAATAAATACATTTTTTTTTTATTATTTTCTTATGAATTATAATTTTGTAACAATGTTACTTTGCATTTATTAGCAAGAATTGGATTTTATAGCATTAAAATTTACTTATTTATGCCTCATAATATGTCATAAAAACAACAAAAATAAATTAATAAATAAGAATTGAAAATTGTTTTTGCTTATTATTTTCTAGAAACTTGTGTTCATACTAAAATTAATTTATCGGGCCGCAATACTGAGCTACATAAAAATAAATGATAATATAGATGTTTTATTTAGTAAAACAGAACTTACAGTATTTTTCTTATTGACCTAATTTCACTTAAATTGCAACTTTTTTCTAGTATTTTTCATTTACTTTAAACGAAATTTTTAAAAAAAAAAAAAAAAACTTATCACTAAAGTGCTTCAAATGCGCAAATTGAAATCAAAATACGATTTTATGTATGAATCTATGTATTAAATCTTTGTTAGGTACATAAAACAAAATAATAATACACTTTTCTATATTTATATGTTTATCCTATAATAATTAGCAAAATTTTATAAAATCCGTTCTCTACTTATTAGTATAACCGGTTCAAAATAAAAATGTTCAACAGACTTTTCATCTTTCTTTTTTTTTTTAATGAAATGATCCGCAGTAAAAACTAATCTAATTCTACATAAAAATAATTATCTATAATTATAATTGTTAGAAAAACTATAAAAAAAATTAGCTATTTACCTACTTGTATATGAAATAGATAAATGGTTTTTTTTTTTTAAGTTTTATTTAAAACTTAGTTTTTTCTTTTTAATAAGCGTTTTGAAATCAAATTTAAATGAAAATCGCAACAAAAATTACGGCCCTTAAAATTATGTATTATCGAACTGCGTTCAGAATCGTCTTTCGTCAAGTAATGGTTTATCGTTGCTTACAGATATAATTGAAATAACCTTATGTATCCTTATATGTCTACCTTCCCAACTTCTCACTTACAACAGTGGCCGCTCCCATCCCCAGTATCAGCTCTTTTTTTTTTTAATTCAAACATCATTTTATGGTACTTGTCTACATTTTAAATAGATTTAATCAGGTTAATAATATTACTATATAGCTATTAAGATATAACTATGCATAACGCTAGAATGTCTATATGTATCAATTTTTTATACATGGAATTTTAGATTATTCAATATTCATTAAATACTATATTGATTTTAACTAATATTCATTAATTTGGTTTATACTATTGGTTCTTTTATTGGTATTTTGAATTATGTATTAATATTTAAATGTTTACTGTTAACATATATTTCGGTTAAACTGTATAGAAAATATTTAAATCGAAAATAGTAATTAAATCTTTATTATAAAAACAATACTTTTTTGGCTACTCATCAAAAATAAACAATTACTTAAATCAATTAATTAATAAAAAAATATAAATAATTAATACATAGTATACCTACTTGTTTTTTTCCAATAATTATAAAGGGTTTTTATATTTTTTTATTTACGAGGCTTGGACATGTTAAATATTATAAAATATAATTATTGTTTATTAATATTATTAAAATTAATTATAATTGTTTTATATTGTTTGATATACGATTAATTAATTTTACAGTTACTATAATCGTGAGTACACATATTTAAAGTTTGTTGGCCTTTCTTTTTCTTTTGGTTTTTCGTTTACATAAAGCAATTTTTAACTATTCTGAAAATGAGTATAAGTAAGTGGGTGGAGCATATGAAATTGGTAATTCAAGGTTTTTCGATTGATATGTGGTTAGGTACATACATTGCGCCGCTATTGATAAATAAATGTTTAAAAGTGTGGACAAAGACGCGGAAATTTTAACATTTCCTGGTCCCGGTCATATTGGATCTGTTATAATATAATTATATATAATTTTAAAATACAATAATCTCATAAACCAAATTACCACCGCTAGTTACAAACTTTGGATGAATATTAAAATCGTGTTGCCGGAAGAAAAGTGCAATTATTTTTTACGAAAACATTTTGTATACAAATATAAGTAATATTAACTACGTTAATAAGAATATTTATCAGCGGTCCTCTATAATTATTTTTAGTAGAATACTTTATAAATACTTATAGTCTATAGAATTATGTGTTAGATATAAATAGAATAGCCAATTATAATATATAAGTATACAGATAGGCATAACCATTTTTAACCAAAATCATACATTTCCTTTTTGGGTCAAATCAAAATTTAAATATTTACTTTATGTTATGAATTTAGTAAAGCATTAAAAATATTAATTATAATATATAAAAATAATAATATAATATAATATAATTCATCAGTTCAATGAATTATTCTATCAGTACCTATTACATTTTTGCTAATCATGTACATATTTTATTCACATTTACTGTGTTCAATGTTATACATATCAAAAAAATATTAAATATAAAAGTTTAATTTATAAATTAAAAAAATGTATTATTAAAATTATTTTTAAGTTAGTACCTATATCATATACCTACAGTCTTATAGTTTAAATGTATATAAGTACTATAAAAACAATTATATATTTAATATAAAATACGACCGTTGTCTGATTTTTGCACTGGTTCACTACATTCTATAGTAATTATTTAAAACTAACTTAACAGAATCATACCTAAAAAGACAAACATACTTCGAATGATAGGTGGGTCACTGTTATAGGTGAGATGTTCGGAAGGTAGGACCTATATCCCGTCTATAGGGGAATTTAATATATTTTTGTATGCAACAATTAAGTCTTGTGTTGTTTTTCTATAAGAGCAATATTTTTGGTAGAAAACATAAACCATATAAAGTTAAAATAAAGAAATCGTGATGCCATAAATTTATTAGTTTTAATTTTTTGTGACTTTTTTTATGGTTTTTTCGGGACAAAACATAAGAGAAACAGGAAATTGACGAAAATAATCCTTTTATTATTTTCAATTTTGTTATTTATTGTAATTTAGTTAAAAATATTCATAAAAACTTGGAATTTAGACAAAAACTTATATTTACCTTTTCTAGAGGTGGTAAAACTTTAAAACATTTTAGTTATGTTTAAACTATTTATAGAAATTTTAATTGTGTGAGTAATTTTTTTTGGTAGGTACTCAGTAGACACAATTTTTAGACTAAACAGAAATGCTTGAAAATTGAACAGAAGCTTAATTATAACTCGTTTTTTGTGGTAAAAAAAATGAGTTTAATGTAGTATATTCTTTAAATAAGAATTTTAATATCAAATCTTGACAAAAATTGTTTTAGTAAAAAATTATGTAGGATAAATCTAATTGTTGGTCCATATAAATTGTTTCAATATATATTTATTTTATTATAATATGACATATATTGTTGAAAAAGCAATACTATTAACCGAGCTTCGCTCAGAATCGTTTTTCGTTAGAAATGATTAATCATTGCTTACAGGTATATATTTAGATTCCTTTCTATATCATACCTTCACAACTTTTTATCTACAACAGTGTCCACCAATTGTATGCAGTGTGTCAGTTTTATTTTTATTTTTTTATTACACACAAGGATAAGGACTACAAATATTTATTTTATTTTAGGTTGGCTTTCCTTATCCGTTATACACGTTATTTATTTTTGTTATTACATTCATTTAAAAAACTTGTTTATTGTACAAATTATTATGTATAAATTATAGATTTTTAATAAATAAATTATAAAAAAAAGTTGAGGTTAAGAATTTTAAATACCTTAATGAGATTTGTAGGATCTTTTTAACAAAAGCACAGTAACTTTCAAAAGCATATAAAACATAGGATAACGTGTGGTTAGATAAAGTGTAGAAAAGTGTCAGATGTTTTGTGTTTTATGTAATTAGAGAATTCTAATGAGACCTAAAGTTAAGTTCTACAGAAGTGAAACTGATTATGTTGTATGATTACACTCCTAGTTTTGAACGGTAGATAGATAAACAGAACAGTGAATGAGTGTAGTAGAGATGATAATATTTAGTTGGATGAGTTGAATGACGAGAGAAGATAGGATAAGGGATGAGTAGGTAAACAAAATGTGGCTTCGATATGAGCGTATAGATAAAACAAGAGATAATAGATCAAGATAGTTGGAGCACATCATGGGGGAGAGGAATTTGAAGCAATAATTATTATAATAGAAATAAACACAGGAGGAACTAGGTGGAGAGTAAAACTGAAGGAGAGATGGTTGGATATGAATATGATTGAGAATGGTAATAGGACAATCGGTGTTTACGAGGTGGGAGATCTGATAAAGTGGAAGCTTAGAATGAAAGTGGCTGACCCCAAATAGTTGGATTAAAGACGGAGGAGAAGAAGAAGAAGAAGAAGAAGAAGAAGAAAGAGAAGAATTTAAGAAACAAGCATCTTTAAAATATTACTATTATTTTTTGTCAACCTTATTTTTAGGAATCAAACCACTATCTATTTTTGATTTTCCAATAGCAACCTGTATAAAAAATCCATGTATGAATTATTAGTTTCCAAATACCAAAAATGTAAAAATAGAATATCTCGTCAACGAGTTAAAGGAATACGAAAAATTTCAAGGCCAAAATATATTTAAACTAATATTCCTTTAAGTTATGAAATTTTTAAAATAGATAAAATAGATTTGAAAATCAAAATTAAGTAATCGTTTCACCCCCAAAAATAAGTGTGATAATAATCATGATAATATTACATTTTAGTGCTGATTGTTTCTTAAATTGTTCTTGTACTTTCCGAGATGTGGGTAAGTGTTCGTGGGACACTATGTATAGCAATAATTATCAGACAGTTATTAAGTTATAAGATAATTTAATAATTGAGTTATTATAATAACAATCCTATCATACACAAAATTTCAGTTGATGAATTAAAAAAATAATAATAATAAAAAAATTATAGAGCAAATATATTTTAGGTAATCGTAGCTTAGATTAGGTTATCGTAACCTACAAAGTAAATAATAGTTCACCACGGTTAGGAAAAATATATTGATGTAAGTACTTCTAATATAATATAGGAACTTATACCAGGACATTTTTTTTTGTAATTGTATATTATTTATTTTATCGTTCGTTACTTTATACGCTTATATTGCAGTCAAAACACTACAATGGCGGTAAACGGAAAATTAACTATGATACTGCTCGTATCGCTGGCAACTTTCGGGTGTCTAATATTGTCGGTCGAATGTTATTCGGATGGTGCGCCAACGGAGGTTTGTGAGGACATGCTGCCTAAGCACGGAGCACCCGCGCAGACCGGCCCCTCACCCTACACGCTTACCCTGAATCGTAAATCAGTGAAACCTGGCGAATCCGTGACGCTGACACTCGCTGCTAAGGACTCCGGAAAATTCAAAGGCTTCTTAGTTCAGGCTCGTGACAGCACCGGATCGCCTATCGGTTCGTTCATGCCTCTGCCGGCGTCCAAGACCAACAACGAGTTCAAAGGCAAATGGAAGCTACTCAGCTGCCCTAAAGGACCGGCTAACGTAAGTTCACTGCAATATTATACTTCTTTTATTATTGTAATAACTTCATTGTTCTTTTGTAAAAATACAAAAGAAAGATCCTAACAAAGTAAACTATCTCCCTAATTATGCATCACCTGTATTCAGCAACCGTTTGGATTTACACAACACAAATATTATTCAGCATATGAAATATTTTCACTTTTACATACAATATACATAATTTATTTTTTTTCGTGTTGACCTCCGTCGCCATTATTATGTTTTCATCTACCTTCTCCATGTCTCCACATGCCACTGTTTTTTCGTGGCCTCTTTAGCCCCGGCTTCTTACATTATTCAGCATATACCTAGGTACACTAATAATGTTTCAACTTAACTTCTCAAGTTTTCCATTAATATGATATCCTATCAGCACATCATAATAATAACAAAGTACCTACGATACTAAAATGCGTGGATCTATTCATAATAATATATTATGCCATATACGTATTTCATATTCTATATTATATGCAATACGCATATTATATTATTACAAGCCACACATAAATACATATTATGTACCTATACATAATATATATAACAGTCGTGTACCGCACAAGTTGCCATTTTGAGAAAAATACGTTTTTACCTACGTTTCGTAATCTTTATTGTGTTATATTGGTGGATATCTTATTAAATAAATATTAGACATGTGTGGAGAGACTGGTTTATTGAAAGTGAGCCGTCCGTGGTGCAATGGACATGGACTGGCTGTCACAACAGGTACCTTATCAACGATATTACAAATAGATATATAAAAATAGCTTAACTGATTTACAAAAATTTGTTTTTTATCGTTCTGTCACGATTTTAACACCTGCGTCTAGCAGGAATATATTTTCAGTTATACGAATAAAAAGCATAGATAATACTGCTACTATACGAATGCGAATTAATATATTAAATTAGGTATTCGAAATAATGTTTTTTTTTTTTTTTTGAATAACACGATTTTTACAGGTCTTATACCAATAAAATCATCATTATCAAAAATTTGTTTTTATACGTACGGATTTAAACGTTTATACATAATTATTCGTAAAAGCATATGTCATAATAAAATGCATAGCTATTTAAAAAATGAACATTTTGTTTCATGTTTTATGTCTACCTCTACCTATATAATATATTTTAATAAATTATTATTTTTTGACTACGTTACTTTTAAGAATACTGCAACACATGTCAATTCAATCGAAAAATCAAGAGTGATACTCACGTGGATCGCACCAAAAAATCTTTCCCAGAGTTTCAAATTTTTGTAAGTACCTATATTAATCATTAAGTAATAGATAATATATCGCATATTATATTATTGCAATAATAATGAATGGCATATATATAGTTGTTTAACGGGTTTTCGAAATGAAATATAAATTTTACAATAATATTTATAGGCACTTATATTTTATTATTCATTACCTATACAGGTTTAAACCGGTATAAATCGTGTGAAACTGTTGAAATGTCCTTTATGTAATAGATGGGTACCTAAATAAAAAAAAAAACGAATCGACGAATAACTAATATCTCAGGCGCAAAAAGCGTATTATACCTATTACTTACTGCTTTAAAAAGTGTCATTTTTGTTTTATTTGACACACATTTCATTATTTTAATAATAATTACCAAGGTACCTATTTGTACCATTTGTATTTTAAAGTTATGCAACAGTGCGCGTCTCTCGTCGAATTAGGATAGGTATATTAACCTACACATTACATGCGAAATATGAATTAAGAATTATGACGAAATTATGCCTATAGGTATTAAAACTTATTTTTTGCTGGGTTTTTCGTCATTCAAACTATTCAAAGATGAGTAATTTTTACCGGGGAGAATAGGGGAAAATTGTTCAAACGCAACACTTCGTGCCGCCATACAAATAATGTTCCACATATTCTAATCCTCCCAAAAACTTAAAAGTGGAATATCTCGGGTTGACGGAAATCATAAAATTCGATATCAAAATTTATTCAAACAAATAATAGACTGATTTCTGTTTAAGGAATAGTTAATATAGGTTGCCATTTTATAATAAAAAGTAGGTAGGTATTAGTTTCACCTCTTAAAATAATGGAAATGTAACATTAGGTTTATTCATAAAATGACAAAAAAAAGTTGAAAAAAAAGTTAATACTTTCTAAGATTATCGCAATGAGTATATTTTCATCCTTTTTAATATAATTTTTCTAACATAATAATTTCTCCAAAAACTCAGTTAAAATTTAGTTAAAAAACTTTCGAACATTATATCAACTTATACTACTTATGTCTTATATCTAGTATCGACATTCATATTCACCAATTACCTTGGTTTTTGTTTGATATATTTATATATATACACACATATTGTATGTTCGATTTAATTTTAATATAAATTATTGGAAATGTAATACAAAAACAAATTAATAACCTACTTCTAGTGAATAATTAATTCACTTAATTCGCCTTGAGTAAAAAACCGGTTTACTCGTGTATTTCTGAATAATTCAATTTTAACATATCATTCTACTAATCGTGTTAGATTTTTCCATCAAATTGGTAATCAATTATGTATTTTTATAATATAATAATACACACAGAAGTATATTAGTCTAAATATATTTAGTACTACACCACGATAGTATGATACTATGGTATTATAAAAACTCATATAGAGTAAGGGTGTAGATTTATTTTTCATTGATTGTTAAATTGTTTAATAAAATTATTAGATATCCACAATTTGGTGCACTGAAGCTAATAAACTCTGGGTTAGGTTAAACATTAAACAATGTATATAATAGTTATTTATAAATAGGACTAGGCCGATACCATTAACCGATATTAATATCGGCCGGTATTGGTACTATTGGTAAATCGGCTATCGGGTGTCGGCTTTTTTTCGAATCGATAGTAAAACCGATACAATGTATAATACCAGTTGCATATCAATTTGTATACAATGACGGTAGTTATAGCGATAATGCTATAGAAACTCCGAACAAAATCTCGACAAACAACGATTTATATAGATTACAGGTTTTTTAAAAACTATATAGGTTTTTTTTATATCGATTCGTGGATCCAGAAAAATAAATAAATTTCGGATTGGTTGACGATTTTATATCAGAATATCGGATATCGGAAAAAAGTGTTGTGGGCCCAGCTCTACTTATAAATACTACTAAATATGGGTAATAACTAAAATAAAGGGGTTGAGGGGAGTAAGAAATTATTGAATATTTATCCCCGCTGATCTCTTGGGTTATTTATTACCTACCCATCTTTTACAAGAGTAAGAAAATTGTAAGTATAATATATAAAATGTTTCTTACCTGTCCTGTGCAGAACTTCCTAAGTATAACGGTGTTGATATAGAATACAAGTATATTTACGATTAATAAAAAGGTAATTATTAAAATTATTGTGCCCGAAAATAGGTTAAGAACTAACCAATCTTAATAAATATTTAATTTCACATAATAATATTAATATGTAAAATTTAGATTACAATATTTGCTGTTTAAAATTATATAGAGGTATCTAATAATACCAATTTATTGTAATAATTAGGTAACTAGTATAGTAAAGTTAATCCAATACTTAATAAATACCTAGGTTAGGTTTTTTTATTTGATCAAGCTATTTATTAATTATTTTTAAGCAAATCAACTGATCTTATTCATTTGAGTAAGGACATTTAAAACATAGTTTATACTCATATATAAAACTATAATTGTTTATGTTATTTCGTTTATACAAAATGTAATCAATCGCTAATTTTTTTTTTATTAATTAATAAAGTACTAATTTTTAATTATGTATTTTGTATAGGTACACAGTTGCCAAAAATGGTGGAGAATACTGGGTTGGAATTGAAACCGAATCCATTTCTGTGACTAAGTAAATGAAATTTCAAGAAGAACTTATTATTCGGCACACACACAAATAAATTAACACATAATTTATATTTATATTAATAATTTAATGTATATTAATTTACTAGAATAATTATGGTTACACTTACAATATAAATATGATACTTAGGTACTAAATTTTGTGAGCATTAATGACTTATAATTACCATTTGATTGGTATATTATTGTTTTTAATAGTTACATAAATAAATTAAATATAATAATTCATTGTCTATAAACCTCTACAATTTAAAACTCTTTGAGATAAAAACCTAGATTTTATTCATCATCATCTAAAGGACAAGGATACGCCTTGTCATAAATCATAATAACCATGTATCTTTCATTTTCCATGTTCCGCAACTGCGAATATGATAATCTATCCATGAACTGCGTCAGATTTTGACAGTATGAAGTTGTTGGGCATTTTCTAATACCTTTCCCCAAGACTTCCCTTTCAAAGATGTTCCTTATGAAGGCATTATACCTAATCAAGTGTCCTATTAGTTTCATTTTCCTCGTCAGCCCTTTTTCCTTCTAACTCCTTTAAGTCTCTCTCATTTAATTTTATTTTTAAAATTGGAATATCTCGTCAACAGATTGACGGAAATCAACAATTTTAATACAAACATTTTTTTTAAAATTAATACTCCATCTCTTTATGCAATTTTTAGTATAAGTTGCCATTTGAAAATTAAAAGTAGGTAGTGGTTTCATCCTCAAAAAAAAGATTGGCAAAAAAAAACATAAATATAAAATCGTATTAGAGCTACTTGTTTTTTAAATGTTCTATAAAACAAATTCTGAAAAAGAAAAAAAATACTTTCCGAGATAATGAGCGTCTTACGATAGATTGATTACTTTGTATACCTATGTTCTATACTAGTTGACTGCCATAAAAACGTACACAACTTTTCAAAAATATTTATAGTTTGCAGTAAATAGTTGTATTCATAATGGTTACAATGATGAATAGTTATACAGTAAATTTGGCCTATTTGGAAGGGTTGTAAAAATTATTAATGTCACTTAAAAGTCTTGGTTACTGCAGAATGGTACAAAAATGTAATAATTCATTGTCTAAATATATGTTTCTGAAAGGAGGTATGTACCTATAAACTTGACTCGTAATATATTCTCATTTTGCTATTTCTTATGGTTCTTGGTATGTATGTCAAATAATGTTCATGAACATGCAAAAAATATATGTCGATATATTATGTATCTAAAACACAATAGGTACACTAATAACAAACATGATTTAAGTACTTAACTCATTATGAGGAATACCATATTAAAACTTATAGATGTGTTAAAATATATTTAACAAGAAATTGGTAGTTATTTTGCTCAATATAAATATGAACTCTCTATATAAATTAACACAAACTATAAACCTTCAAATCTAAAAATATAATAATAAAGAAAATGAATATATTTATTATATAATGAAATAATATTTGTACATAATAGTATCGTTTTGAACACACCTATTAAAAATAATATTTCTAGGGAAATCACAAATTATCGAAAATATTAAATAAGAAAATTAAATATATTATCAATACTTTTCAGTAATAGTATTCATTAGGATAATTGACTAATTTATCAAGTGATAGTCATGTTTTCCCATAGTTTGCTATTCAGTCAGGTTATATAATATGAATATCAGAGCACTGATTTAATATTCTTATATTATTTAGCTATTAATTATGTTTAAATTATTTACTTATCAAATACCCATTACCCACATTTGTATTATGTATATTAAAGACAGACAAACTGTTTGAAATTGATTGAACAATGCCATAGAAAAAAAAAATAATCATGCCTAAAACGATTTTAACACTTTTAGTTGGTGTAAAATTGATAATTAATAATAATTCCTCACAAGTATAGTTTCACAATTTTATTTTTTGTAATAAGTGCGTTTTCCAGAGACATTTTTCGAAAAACTATCGTTCAATAAAAGCTGTATACCGATCAATATTATATGTTATTCTTTACAAATTTTCTTAATAAACTTTAATTCTAAAGAAACATTTTCCATTCATTTAATAGTGTTATTTATTATAAATAAACTATTTAAAAAGGTGAACATACTTCACACAATGGGTGGGCCACTGTTGTGGATGAGAGATTGGGAAGATAAAATATAGAGAATTTAATTATTTTTGTATGCAATAGTTAGCCATTGCTAATGAAAAACGAAAACAATAAAAAAACAAAATTTAAAATTATTTTTGTAAATTTTCCCATTTTTCTTGCGGATTTTCTCGGTTTTTCTCATTTATTATGGAAACTCCTGAGAAAATCAAAAAATGACAGAAAAGGTGCTACACTTGATCCTTTGGAGCACGAATTCTGATAGAATTTTTATACACAGTAAAAAAAAATAAAACAATTTTAAAACCAATACAATCCTGACGGAGGTACTTACATGTATTGTGTTCATTTTGATGCAATTTATTTAAAGGAATGATACTCACATATACGTTTACAATACAACTAAGCAACACAGAAAAATTATATTTCGTAAAAATATTAAAAATCTGTTTAATTTTTGATTCATATTATTTGATAAATAATTAAAATCATTAATTACTTATGGATTTCAGTGAGTTTATTAAAATATTTTAGAAATTCAATCCAGTCATTAAATATTTCGGACTGGTTTATTACAGTTACAACCTCATTCATACAACAGGATACTGTGGGTTGAAATAAAGCAGTGAATTTATTTTTGCCAATAGGAGACTCATATGAGCCTATAATAAGTGCAACTAATAAATTCAAAGTTACTAAATTTTAGACAATAGTTTTTAGGAACATGAAATAAATGTAGATATTCAATACGTTAACAAAACACATAAAATATTGGTTGTATTGTAAAAACAAGTTAAAACCAAATGGTTCTACACGTGCATACTCACTGGAAATCTACACGGTATTTTCTTTTAGAATGAATGTCAATGAATATCATCAATATCAATAAGTCAAATTTTTAAATGAGTTAAATGCATAGGCATTACATACGAGGCTCACCACACAAAACCAAGTCCTCGTGAAGTAAATACTAAGTACTTATACATAATTGATATTAAGGGGTGTTAAGTCCTTCCATGGGCGTACTCATGGAGAGGGGGTCATGGGGTTAACCCCCTCCATTTGCCTCTTTTTTTGCAATCAATTCGTTTTAAATTTAAAAGGGATGTGAAAATCCATTGTCACACCGTATAGTTTATATTTACAATTACAATATAAATATATTGGTTCTCGTCGTTTTTCCCGAACAACCTTTTTTCCAAATGGTAAATTACCCGAAGAGCAAGTCCGTAGCTGGAACGAATTTTCGGGAGTGAGAAGGGGAGTGTTTAAATCAAATAATATATTTTCATAATAATTTTAAAAAAACAATTAACATTAATTTTAAACAAAAAAAAAAAACCCCGACTTTTTGTTATATTTACACATCAAGATTATTTAAGAATATTTTAAAGTAAATTTATATTATATACAATTATTTTTTAAAGAATATTTTATAGCACATAAGTAGTTATGATAATACACATCTAGTAGTCGCTTGTTTTCTTTGACAAAACGATAGATATCATCATTTGAATTGATTTCGAATACTATTTGCTTGCGCACATTTAAAAGAGCTAAACCTGTAAGACGTTCTTGGCCTGATGAATTACGTAAACCATTTTTGAATTTTTTCATGGTTGAAAATGTGCTTTCTGGCGTAGAAGTCGAAACTGACAATGTAGCTAATAGTTTCAAAAAAAAAAGAGATGTTTGGAAAATATTCAGAATTACTTATAATATATGCTTCAATAGCCGAATTCTGGTTTGTTAGTCCATTTTCGTTTTCACAGTTTCTGTTGACAGTACTTCCAAATCCAGAAATTCAGAATACATTTTAAAGTCGTTAGTCTCTATTTTAAGTTTGTTGCATACTTTTGGTAATAACTTGTGCAGTGAAAAAATTAGTTTTTGTGATAAAACCGTTATTTTTATGATAATCTGTGTTATTATGTGTGTTAAAATTTCCTATTGCATTTTACCATTTATTTAAATGTTTTGTAACCAATAATCCTGGTTTTTATATTATTAGGTACTCACATGGCCACATGGTAAATGATATAAATAAGTTACTTATATAAATTAAATCTATCAAACGACTAAAATTTGCCACTCACATACAACTTTAAAGTAAAAAAAAATAGACAGTATCATAGTGTCATACACTCATACCTTCTTTCCAGCACTAATATTTATTTTTATGCAATCAAATTTTTATCACACGTGACCATAGATAATAAATAAAAAGAAAAAATTATTATCTATACATTCGACATATTAGTTGTTTATCAGCAGGCCTTGAAAAACCGCGAAGGCGTGAACCAGTTCTTTTTGTTGTTCCGGTTGTTAGTATCTTTTCTTTATCAGTGCTTTGAAACCGATTCCCACCAACTTGAATTTAATATTTATTGAATTTCTTCAAATTGTTGAATTACCTATCGTTGTTTGATTATATATTTAAACCTAATGGACGTATGTATAAATCATTATTACTTTTCTAATTAATTTATCATTTATTAATAATGTTAATTGAAATAATAAAATTTGTTTTTCAAGAATCATGTCTTTTTGGTCGTGTTTTGGTCGGAAAAGTTCTAATCGTTTCTATGAAAACTACATTGACGTTATAGATCTGAATAGCTCGGATCTGGTTGATGTCCCGTTACAAATATTTATGCATGAAAGAACCTTAGAAAAGTTATTACTATCTTCTAACCACGTAAGAATATTGCACACGTTTATATTAACACTTTCAGATTCAAGGAGTGCTCTAAAAATGTAATTTTATCATTTCATCATTTATACAGTATTAAATATACTACTTGTTATATACCTACTTGATACATTTATTCAAAAACTTTAAAAAATTATTTGTCTTAATACAAAATTGAATTTAACTGTTTAATTGTAATTCATTAATAAATTATTTTAGAATTTATACTCTAATATTTTTAAGCTAATTTATGACTAATATTCTTTATTTTATACCTATTATGACATTGTTTTAGATTAGAGATTTACCATTACCGTTATTCCATTGTGGCCAATTGAAAGTGCTGCATATTAGTGACAATAAAATAGAACATCTTCCAAAAGCAATAGGATCACTGGTTAATCTGATTGAATTAGATGTGAGCAGAAATTGTAAGGGAATTTGTTCGATTATTTTTTTCAATTTATATTCAATTTATGTTTATGATTTATTTTTTAGATCTATGCACAATTGATGAAAACATAAAAAATTGTAAGAAGTTGTCTATTTTAAACTTAAGTGCTAACCCATTATCACTAGTACCGATCCCTGTGACACAAATATTATCGTTACAAGAACTCTGTTTAAATGACACTCAATTAGAATTCATACCTGCAAATATTGGACGTCTTGTTAATTTAAAAATATTAGAATTAAGGGATAATAAAATATCTCAATTACCCAAGGCAGTTACTCGTTTAACAAAATTGTTTAGATTAGATATTGGACAAAATGATTTTACTGATTTTGTAAGTATCTGTAATAAAAGTAGGTATAAATCTAGTTTACCAGACACTATTATTTTGTCTCAAAAATATATGTTTTTGTATGCTAAATTTTAATTTTCAATATCTAACAAAATTTTAATTTTTTAACTGACTTACTTTTATGCTAAATATAATTAGAATTTTTCTGGAAACTATTGAAGCAATTTGAAAAATGTAAGTATGAAACAACCAATTGTAAATGTCCCCATAACTTAACTACCATGCTAAAGTTATGGCAATTTGAAGGAGTCAATATTTTTTTCCTATTTAGGAAACGTTGAAAAGAAAGGGTGTTATCAGAGGCCTGGTTTCGCGTATTGAGGTTTAGGTTTATATTTAGGATACTGTTCTTCTTACAGCAGTATGAACTTATAGATAATATGCTGTTATCCCCCTCCCCCCTGAAAAAAGACGCACTGCAGTACTTGAGTCGGCAAGCCATTTTCGTAATTCATAATTGTTTGATCTGCGTATTATGTGTAGTATAACTACATCTATCTTCAGCACAAAAAAATTAAAATTTTAAAGAATTTTAATTTTGTTTACCATAACTACTTTCATAATGTAATCTGACAAACAATTCAAACATAATATGGAAAAAAGTGTCTGGTAAATTAGTCTGTATAGAATATAGAATAATTAAATATTGTAACTTGTTTTAGCCTTCTGCTATAAGTGATCTTTATGGATTACATGAACTATGGATTGATTGCAACGATATAATGGATATTCCTTCCGTATGTATAAATAATTAAATATAATTTTACTGTAATTATAAATCCTCCAAAAATGTTCCAACATTTTGTTTTTAGTTTTTCTATGTATTCATACATATTATATAAATTTATCAATCTTTAATTATTATATTTTTATAATGATAATATCATTATAATATGAATGAAAATGATTTAGTATTTTTTTTAGGAAGTAAGCAATTTACATCAATTGTGGTATTTTGATGCCAGTTACAATAGTATATCTAAAATTCATGAAGATATTCAGTATTGTAAAAAAATTAAAGATCTTCACTTATCATTTAACAATTTAAAAGTAAATATATATATTTTCTGTTTAATATTAAACATTAATGAAACTACTTTTCTAATTGTTTATCAGAGTTTACCAGAATCTATGATGCATTTACATGATTTAGTAACATTGAAAATAGATCATAACTGTTTGAAAGAAATTAATGGTGTTTTTGAAGGCCTCCAAAGTTTAGAAGAACTTGATATTTCTTACAACTTCTTAGAAACATTATCACCTACTGTAGGTTTGATGAGAAAATTAATTATTTTGCGTTTAGATGCAAACCAGTTAAATGACATACCTTCAGGTATTTCTTATTTATATTGGGAATTTTTAAATATTTGAGATTAATTGATAAATAATATTGTTAATTTTCTGACTTTAGACTTATGTAGTTGTAAGAACTTAAGAGAACTCAGTTTACGGTCAAATAATTTGTCACATATACCAGATGGTATAGGAAGTTTACATAACTTAGTTGTTTTAATGTTAACACAAAACAAGATAAAAAATCTTCCACTTTCAGTGCTAAAATTGACAAATCTCAATGCACTTTGGCTTTCAGAAAATCAAAGCAAACCATTAACCCCTTTACAAAATGACTACGATGAGACTGGAAAACACATTTTAACTTGTTATCTATTACCACAAAGAAAAAATAGTTTTGTAGGTATGTTATTTGTAAATTAATATTTAATATTCATTATAAACAAAAAAAAAATAATTTTAGTATTCATTAATTTTGTTTATTGCTAATCAAAACAATTATTCAATCAGTGGTTAATAATTTGCTATTTTTATATTTTGTATTAGTTTATCATTTTAGTTATAAAAACTAATGAGTAACAATATTAGTTCTAAAAATATTCAAAATGTTTACTCCAAATTATTTAAATAATGTTTCTTAATAATTTGTATATATTTATTTTAATTTAGAAAATAAGAATCAAAGTTTTAAACCTATTAAGTCAAGCACACGGATTAGGTTTACAGATGACTGTGCAGGTTTAGAAGAACCTGGAAACTTAAGAAGAATTCCTACACCGCATCCTAAAAAAATGAGAGCTTTTGCCACAATGCTATTAGAACGAAAAAAAAAGACACATGTAATATTTTACATTCAAGTTAGAAAAATACCAATAATTTTAATTAAAATTATATTCATTTTTAGGAATCATCAAGTAATCCTAAAATTCCACTGCCAAAAGAAATGGCAAATAATCCTACAGACCAAGAAACTGGTGATCAAGTTAAAAATAGTGTGCTTGAATCAGTATGTATAAAATAAATATTATTTTTGTTTTTTTTTTTTAATGTATACAAATTGAAATTTGTATTACAGGATAAATTAGCTGAACAGAAATTAATTACACAAAGATTACCTCCACCTTATCATATCGCAGCTATATACTCAAAACAAGTTTCAATTTTTAACAATGAAAATTTTACCTGACTAAAGGAAACTTGATCAGTAAGAATTTAAAACATGAAGTATACTAATTTTTATATCAGTCTATTATTATTATTTAATACAAAAAGAAATCATAATCCTAACTAAATGATTGTTGTGTTCAGGTTGTTAAGTTTTGTGTAAACCAGTTTGTTATTTAACAATTAGTAACAATAAGTTAATCTTAAATGTCATTTATAAAATATTTATTTTAAAAATAAATGAAATAATTCAAATAAGTTATCATAAACTAAGAAGTATGATTAACCTTCTACTATAGATTTAATCTTCCTTAATACACATCTATATTATAAATCTAATATAATTTAAAGAAAAAGTAGTAGGTATATGAATAATGTGGTCATACATCAAACATTTTTATGCGCTGTAAATTACCAAGAATTAAAAATAAACAAATGTATGAAAAATGAATTATTTAATATTTTATTATTCATGTAAGTACATGTATTTGTTTAGTTTATTAATTAAATTAATATTGTCTGATGGACAACTACTCAATACACCCTTTTTTTCTATATTTGATTTATGAAAAATAATACATTTTATTTTTCTGAAGCTATACTATATTTAAAATAAGCAGAAACATGGCAGATAAAAGTATATCAGAATGTACAAATGCATGTGTTGTGTTAAGTCTATTACAGGTTGGAGGTTGGTATTCCTTAAGGTCTGGCAACATTCAAATACTCAATCTTGTATGCTAATTGGTGTCTTCTTATTTTTAAAAATGTAAAAATAATTCAGTGCAATCATTCAAAATTATCTCTTTATGTTTTAATCAATTTTTGGATTTTTCCTCCTTAAATAATGATATTAAATAAATAAAATTAGTGAAACAGATTTTAAAAAAAAGATGTACATACTTGTCACAATGATGGTCACTGTTGTAGGTGAAAAGTTGGGACTGTTGGATATAGAGAGAAATTCAATGTGTATTTGTATGCAACAATTAATTATTGCCAACAAAAAATGAATCTGGGTGGAGTTTGGTTATACATGTTTTGAGAGGCTTTATTATTTACAATTTCTATACAAATTTGATATTAAAATTCTTATAAAAAACATTGTAAAACCAATAAATTTCTCATTTCACTCCAATCTAAAATATTAATAGCAATTATATAATATTTCATAACATAATAAGTGGACTTGGTTTTTTTATTTCTATATGAATCTAATAAAGCATTTAATATAATAGGAACATGTTAAATATGTAACACATTTTATCAAGTATCATTTTTTTTGACAACTAATCAACTAATAACAAATTTTAAAAATAGTTGATAAATAAATATTAAATATAACTTATTAATTACAATTTTGACTGAAATAATAATTGTTATTCGTTTATAAAACTAATCATCAATTATTCATTATTGCTTACAAATTTTTAAATTTACTATTTAGATTATAATTTTCACTAATTCAGTAAAGTTGATTAACGCATGCGGTTATAACGTCCATATAGCGATCCCATGCTTTTTTAATTTCTGTATCTCTAAAAAAAAAATAAAAAATATATTATTTGTTTAACTAAAGGAACAATTGAATTCTAAACATAGATTATTTTTAATATTTTTAATGAAAGTTTTAGGTTGAATATTGGTTAACAGTTATAACGTATAATTTCATATCTAGAGAAAAAATAAACATTTAACAATGAACTCAATTATTTAGAAGAGATTTAAGCCTTTCAATAAATTGTAGTTAACTATTAACAGTCATACACAGAGCAGCAAGCTATATTTAAAATTGTGTTTATTTTTTTATTTCAAATCATATACTATTAAATAAAAAGTGTCTACAAGAAATCAAAACTAAATATATTTAATGTTTTACTTACTGGAATACATTTAACTCAATAGCACAATCAATATAAACTTTTAAAAATTGCATTACATCTGGTTTACTCCACCCAAGAAGTCTCCATGGATCAACTATTCTATCCAATACATCAAGAAAAAACCCTCTAAAAATATATTATTGTCCATAAATTAATATTTTATTTATTATTCAATTTTAATTACCTTAAATCTCGGTTATGATGTAGATTATAAGCGATTCCTATAATAGATCTACTTAACAATCGAAAATTGGCTTCCATACTATTGTAAGTTTTTTCAAGAAATTCTATTTTTAGTTTTTGACAAACGACACTAAAATAAATACATTTATTTACATTTGTATCAAAATTTTAATAATAAAAAAATATTAACTGTTTGTGATCTTTTTCTTTATCCAATAAAACTCTGACTTCTCTTAAATCAAGAAGAAACTCTCGATCTAAGTCCGTATCTCCAAACTCTGGACTATTTTTAGGATAAGTCCACTTATTCATAATGCAAAGTGTGGGCTCATAAAAATCTGGAAATGTTAGCGATTGTAATTTTCGTTTGGATGTTTCAAAACGCATACAAGCTATGAAAACTATAACACCATATTTCCTAATAAAACAAGTATTAGTATTATATTTTAGTATTTAAGGTACTTTTTAGTTATCGGGACTTAAATATAAAAATTAAATAAAATTTAATATAATTGATAAAATAAATAATGGAAAATGTTGTGGTATGTTGGTTAGATTGAAGAGCTTGACTCTACATAATAGCTATCAAGATGCTGACAAGATGTTTCCCTATGATTTTCGTTTCATCATTTAGTTGATATAAATATACATAGTCAGGATAACCAAATTTATTTTTATATCAATATTATATTTTATTTTAACTCGTTGGTAGTCGCGATAACCAAAAAGTACTGTATTTTATCTTTAAATAAATACTTAGCCAAATCTTCAGATAATAAAAATATGCTGCAGATGTTCTGAATTATGGAACCTTGCAATTCTTCAACTGCTTTGAACACTCTTTTAACGTTATCAAACTGACGTCTAAAATGCAATAAATAAATTTTGTAACACGTTTTTTTTTATTTGATAAAATAAAATAAAACTGAATAAATTAAACCTGCAAGATTTAATGGCTATACTAGTTTTATCACTAACGTCATCTAAATCTTTGCGATGTTTGGATGACAATTTTTTTCCAAGAAATTCCCTAATAACTATATCATCGATTTCATAATACCTAAACACAAATAATATATTAAATTCTATGTGTGGTTCAAATATTGTTAATAAATAAAGTTACTTTTCTACTAAAATGTGTTTGGTTTGTGGCTCAATTTGAAATGCCAGCTGCTGATCCAATTTCGTGGGATAATGTATTAATTTTTCCAACAAGCTATAAGTCCTGTAATGATCTAATATATCGGACGCAACTAAGTCGAGTGTAGTGCCCATTTCTTCCAAAATACCATATTGTTTCAAAATTGAAACCGCTTCTGAGGCTAAAAATATTAAGAAAAATATCAATAACATTAAACTAAATATATCTATTATAGTAAAATTTAGTTAGTCAGATACCCGAATAACCATTCACCCATAGGTGATAAACGTCTGGATCAACAATTGTATAGTTGCTAATAAACACGTCTACTTCTGGACTAGGTGCATTCATTGTGGTCTTGTAATATTCGCTGTTCAATAACATATTACAGACTATAAAGTTAATTTTTTTAAAAGATAGATACTTTTCAATTGCCAGCGCCTAGTATTAAAATATTTTACAATCAAAATTCATTATTTCCCATTTCTATTATCAGAAACAGGGTAAACAAACTATCCAGTATCAATAATTTGTTTTGGTTATCATGACTGAAAATATGTTATGGTTACTTATCACAATTACTACTTATTTAAATTATCAATGCTTATCAGACAATTTTTTTTATAAAATTTTGTATTTTTTTTTCATAATTTTCTTTATAAATAGGCGAATAGCACTAGATTTATAATATTTTGATTTGACTTTTTGAGATATATAATTTATTTGAATTAAAAATATCAATTGTTAGGTATAGAGATATATTTTTTTAATCATAAAAATAGTATACTACAAATATTATGAAATAAAAAAAACAATGTGATAAATCACGTAGGTAACTGAGTTTTTCACGTTTTCCGTCTGTAAATTGTATTCAACAAATTGAAATAAAAAATGTTAAACTCCTGATTCGTTCTTAAGGGTGACATTTTTTAAAGGATAAATTGTCATTGGAATGTAGGAAAATCGATCACATATTATAAACTTGACAGGTAGGCATATAGCAATTCAAATCTGTTATCGCGTCACACAATTATCGTTAGAAGTAAAATTTGTGCGAGTGTCACAATGTCTGTGTTAAGGCTCCCATACACGATCAAACAATTTGCATAACCACTATGTTTGTGCGAACATTTTGATCGTGTATGGAGTGGATTGAGTAGTTGCGCAATGATTTGAAACCAAGCTTGCGGTTTTCGGTCGATACCGAAATATTTTGTGCAACGCTCGGTGACTGATAAGCGGTTTGAACGTCTATATCGATGTTTGACAAGCGTCAGTGGTGGATATATCATTTTATTGTGTTCATTTAAAATTGTATAGTAAATTTAAAGTGCCGAAATTTATTTATACTTTTTTGAGCACTAATTAAAATATTAATATTTATCATTATTATTATTTCTAACAACTCCCCAAACGTATCTGCATCCATTCTAAGATAGTTTTGGTAGTCTACTATTGAAATCATTTTGAGTTTTGATACTAATCAGTCATGATCAAATTCTGTCCTCTTTTTTAACCTTTCCTCCGACCATATTCTCTGCTTTTTTTTTTTATTTTCCATCAAACAGCCAATAATTATCGCAGCACAAGCAATTTCTGTGTCGGACATTATGTCTAAGTAAATAAAAGTTGAGGTACTGAGGTTCACACAAGCCGTTTGAACGTGTATGTACGTGTGTTTGCACAATCATGTTTTTGCGCAAACATAGTGATTGCGCAATTTGTTTGATCGTGTATGGGGTCCTTTATAAATACTATCTAGACAGGCATAAATTTGGTAGAACAATCACAAATTTACAACGCCTTACTTAGATAAATCTTGTCCAGTCGATAATGCAAGAGCGCAAAATAAGGATAGGTATAGGTACTTAAATGCTTAAATAGTTCTTTGGAGAACTAATTTGTTTTTGTCGAGTCCAATATAAGTACAATAATAATATCATAACAATATAATAATGATTGGCAGATTAGGAATTTCAAAAATGTATTATATTGTTATATAAAGGTCATATATTATAAGTGACGAGTTACTTTTTTTTTTTTTTAGATTTTCAAACCCCTGTAATAATGTTATAATATTTCTATTTGATTATATTATAATATACCTATCGTAGTACCTATAGTATTATATTACATGGAGCGTATGTCTGCGACGTATATTTTTCTGTAAGCTTACAAATATTTATCATGTACTTACACAGGTACCTTTACGTACACTATAATAATAATATTAGTCCCCGCGTGTATTATTACGTGTTAAAACACGATGAGGTTGGTATTTATGGTTTTGACTTTCGGTCGATAATAAGTGCGCGTTCTCGTAGTCTGGGTCACCGTCGCCGGTCGCGCACCGAATTTGTCGCATCGCAATATAATGCTGGTAGGTAAAATCTATAGACGCAGGCACATTTTCCTAACGTTATACACATTATTAAATTAGGAGGAAGTTGACAAATATTTATTATATACTTACATAGGTACCTTTATGTACACTATAATAATAATATTAGTCCCCGCCGTATTATTACGTGTTAAAAAACGATGAGGTTGGTATTTATGGTTTTGACTTTCGGTCGATAATAAATGCGCGTTCTCGTAGTCTGGGTTACCGTTGCCGGTCGCGCACCGAATTTGTCGCATCGCAATATAACACTGGTAGGTAAAATCCATACTTTATAGACGCAGGCGCGTTTTCCAAACGTTATATACATTATTAAATTAGGAGGAAGTAACACGCACTTGCCACCCATACCGCTCGAGCTTTATCGATTTCCCCTCCTCCCACAGCCCCGGCCGGCGTCCCGGGAATAACGCCCGCAGCTCGCGCCGAGGTATCCATCGCAACGACGATTTTGACGGCGCGGATGGAGCGGCGGGTTGGGTTGCGGTACACGCCCCGGCACGGCACCCGGGAGGCGGCGCGCGACCCGTCCGATTCCCGGGCCCGACGCTCGTCACTCCGTCAGTCGACGTTCACCGAGCACCTACTGTTTTCACGTTACCTCGGCAGGCACACCCCGTTGACGATCTGTAATATTTTGGTTATACTGATACGACAGGGGCGGCGAGCGATATTATTCGTACGCGAATAAAAACAAAATCCGCGGACATAATATCACAGTCATGTCGTCAAACCGCGTCTGCAAGTTCTTTTTGCAAGGCTTTTGCTCGTTCGGCGACAGATGTTGGTACTCCCATGACCTGTCGACCGTGGGCGCCGCGTCTTTGGTCGGTAAGTAACACGACAATTATTGATTTTTGATATTATACTCATTTATTTTTTTCCAATTTCCGTTTTAACCGATAGCAGTGGCGGATCCGCGTCAAGTGAACATTACTATAACCCACTACCGCCATATTATAATAGGTACCTATTTATATGGCATGATGATAGGCGATTAATATTACGTTTATTTCGATTTGTTTGAATATTTATATAGGTATATTATTTAATTGTTGTCGAATATTATGAATGCATGTATCATAAAACTATTTTGGGATTTTATTTTTGTCGAGGTGATAGTACAACAGCAATCATTTATATGTTACTGTGTTTTTTTTTTTTTTTTTTGACTTATAAATAAACTCTGTAATTCTTTTATGAATCCTATTGCTTGCGATTTTCGTACGCTTTTATCGTTTGAGCTAATGGAACTGACAGTTTGGGCGATTAGCTATAAGTAGTTTAATGGTACACAGGTATTTGGCGGTGAGGAAGGGGAGGGGGTAAATCAATATTGCGGGATTCACATTCGTTTTGGCGTTGTCCAGGGTAATACTGTGATCCTTAATTTATTATTAGCTTTCCATGTAGTTCCCGAACCCGATATTTTTTGAGAGATTATGTTAAATAGAGCACCTTTTAGCGCGGTCAGAGAAAGAGGGACAGAATCCCCCCTTGCCTTTCCCCTCCACTTTAACCCCTGGGCCGCTTTCGAAATATCGACAGATTTAAGTATAGGTAACTACAGTGAATAAAATAAACTATATGGTACCTATGTGGCTACATATTATTATAGATAGATCGTGGACTTATTTTAAGTATGTATTATTTTTTACTCTAATAAATTATTAACCTATTATTATTATTATTATTATTATTATTATTATTATTATTATTATTATTGTTATTATAATAACGTGGCAGATGCGAATATTTTTATTTATTAGGTACCTATTTACGTGGAAAAATGTTTTCGTAGGCACCTATACAATTTCCCTCGAACGGTACAGATTTTGTATTGATCGTCCGAACGGACCACGCCCATGCTCATCCCCTATTTGCCATGCGCCACAGCAGAGGTCATGGCGCATGGCACAGAGGGGATGTGCGCAGAACGTATCATTGTGTGCACTATCTATATTATATTAAATAATTGATTCACAATGTATACTACATCGTAAAATCGTAATAATCCTTTAAATTATTTAAAACATTTTTATTTTTATACCGTTTAGTTTAAGTTCCAATCGATTATTTTCTAAATTATTTACCCAAGTACCTAGGAGTACCCACTTATCAAAATTTCACTTTTTATAAATTTTTCATTTTGATTGATTCGTTTAACTCACCATAGTATTATAACAAAAAAAAATACGATTGATCAACCACATTTAAAACAACTAGGTATAGGTATGGTGCAGGAGTGCTAGAGTGGGCATGCACGAATCTTATAGTTGTTTTCGGCCCAAATATACATGTCTACTGAAATACAATTCGGACAATTTAATTTCGGCTGTTGTACGATTCGGTTAAAATGCGTTTCGTCTTTTACGCGTTTCGGCCCAATTAAAAGTTAGTTTTAAACTTAAAATACGGATTGACTATAATACGGGTCGGCTTTGGGAGTTTCCCCTGGTTGAGCCCGAAATTCATCCAATAAGTTTACTTTCGTAAATAACCCCGTCACTTGATTAAAAATTAATCGGGATGAGTAATATTAAATGGTCGCTGTTTTAATTTTATGGTCCCTATCCCGTCCTATTTATTGTTCACTGCTAATAATTTTTCATAAACTATCATTCATTTTATATAATAACAATTAACAACATTTAAAATATAATGATTACATCACCATCTTCAGTATTAAAAACCTAGTCTTAGCAGAAAAAAAAAAAATGATACCAGGAACAGATGTCCCATGTTATAAGTGAGAATTCGGGAACGTAAGATACATGGAGTTATTCAAATTTAATAACTACAATGTACATTTGTACGCAAAAATTAATCATTACTAATGAAAAACGATTCTGAGCGGAGTTCGGTTATACCTACATGTTTTAAAGGGCTGTTTAAGGTTAACCATAATATATTTTTAGAAACACAATATTACTGCAATCTATGTATATTATTTTCATAATTTCATTTGTGCTTATATATTTTTTCTAAACAAATTTGGGAATTTATTAATAATGTTACATGATATTTATTCCTTAAATTTCTCCCTTGGACACTGTGCTACACCTCTTTACACCTCACTGCTCAGAATCTGTGAAATACAATTCGGAAACAGTATATTTTTATAATATACCTATATTTATTATTTCTATTATATAAAATTAATTGTTTTGCAAATTGTCTACTATTCATTTTCTTATATTTTTTTTAGTCGAAGAACGCGTTACACAAAGGCGACCTATTCAATATAAGAATCAGTCTAATACTCCCAAGTATATGCTTATACAAATTTTTATTACCTACTTATGTAATGTTATTTATTATTCATTTTTTTTAAATTCAATTATAACAATTTAATTAGGTATAGACAAGTGAAAAAAACTGGTGCTACTACTGGAAATTTATCGAATAAAATGGGAAATCCTATTCAACCATCTGGCGGTCAAGCTAATTACAATCAAACTGATAAGGTTGAATCTGATCCGATCAAAACAATTCAAAGTGCTTTTGAAAGTGAATTGCAGTGCCAAATATGCTATGAAATATTTATTAAGGTAATGATACTAATATAAATGATTTTTTTTTATAACATTTTGATCATCTTAGATTAGTTTTAGGTTTTGATTTGTATTACCTAATTATGTTTTAAGTTTAGATTTATAAATAGATATATCCTACTAACATCCTGACTAATGTTTTAAAATTATTTTACCCATTTATTTTTGTTTGTGTTTCAGCCAATTGTGCTTAACTGTGCACATACATTTTGTGCCACTTGCATACACATTTGGACTAAGAGAGTTAACAGATGCCCAGTGTGTCGAATGAATATCAAATCAAAATCACATTGCTTGACTTTAAATGTTTTCATAGACAAGATGATGCAATTCATGCCGGAAGATGTTATAACCAGACGTAACTTATCAATAGAAGAACGTCAAAAAGATGCAGGTGTCTAAATATTTCATATTAATGTTATATTTAGTTTCTTTAAAGTTAAAATGTACATAAATAATTAATCATTACTATTTTTAGAAGAAATGAATATGAACAGAGGTAATACAGAAGGTAGTGATGGAATGATTGGAGAGCTAGATTATTTCTCAGAAAATCAAGATGAAGAAATCGATGAAGATGTTATCGTTCAGGAAGCAGACATGTTCAGAATGAATTTACATGATACAGTTGTAAGCATGGGGGGCTTAAATCCCTTAATACGTTATATGCTACCACCAATGGGAGAACACCGTTTATAGAGTGTGTTATATAATATTATTATAGAGTTTATGTTCATAGGCACATCTAAGAAGGCTTTGGATCATAAAATCCATTAAGCAGACATATACTCATACATAGATTTTAGCAAACATCTCAATAGATGATAGGCCTGCAAGTGAATAAGTTACAGCGAAAAATATAAATTTAAATATCATATACTATACTATCAAAGTTTCTTATAATTATAATTTATTAAAATGTCTTATAACTAAGCACCAGACATTTAATTTGTTTAATTTGCACTTGCCTATAAATATTTATTATCAATGAAAATAAGCAAAAATTAGTTAATTTTTTTTCGACCTATTAATAATATTAATAAGAAGTGTGTGCATAAATAACTACTAACCATTACTTTAACCATTAGTCAATAAATATCTGTATTTTTTTTTTTTTTTGTAGTGATATTCATTTTTAAATAATATTAATTATTATCATATAATACTACTACTATACAATATTTTCATTATTATTAAATTTTAATCAATTCAAATATTTGCTAAAATATTATTTAATATTTACTTAATAAAGTAGATTTGATGTTGTATATGTTCAATACAATTTTTAAAGAGTTTGGTATTATATTATTCTAGTTATATTGTAAATATTACTTTAATATTGTTATATTATAACATTTATTTTACAATTTTATGTACATATTTTAAATATTATGTTATTATTCATGGTGATTTTATATTTTCATTTTTTATTTATTATAGAATAGAACTAATATTTAACAAATAATTACAAAAATGTCTGATGATTTACCATAAGGCATTTTGTTTAAGAACCTCATAAACTCTATTTATCATTTACTATTAAAACTAATAAAAGTATTATTCATATTAAAGTTATGGTTTAGCATACTATATTTGTTGAATCCTATTAGGTTTAATATTTATGAGTAGGTATTTTAATTTATGATTATTTAACTTATATTTAATATTTATTAAAAAAAAAAAAAAACAACAGAATATCAGCAATTAAATGTTATTTACCTATTAACAATAAAATAATATTATATGTGTATGGAAACATTTTTAATTTAACTTTTTACATTTATTCTATGGTATTTATTCAATTTTAAATTTATATTAGGTAATTTTTTATTGTACGTAATTATTTTTTAGATATTAATATAATAGTAGCATATGATAATAAAAAGCTAATAAATGTAGACTATACTATTATAACAAATGCTATAGCATTTTAATTTTATATGTAACCAAACATTGTTCTTAACAAAATAAAAATATAATTTGTGTGTTGCTTGATAAAAATCTGTGATTTTTTATTTAATTACACTATTTAAGTTTAATATTTAATAACTGATGTCTGGTTAAAGTGAGATCATAAAAGCCTTTTTAATTAATTAAATTAATTCATTTAGATAGCTCAGTTATACATTTTTTCTTTATTCAACTTTTTTTTTTTGATAATTAACTTAGTTTCCTTAAAAACACCTAACTACTCATTCAAACCTCCTTCCTTTTCATTTTGTTGGATATTATATTGTCTTTAAACCCTCAAAGAAGTTAGATTTGATCACAAACTCTTGATCTTTTAATTAAAGAACTTTTATAACTAGTATAATAATTGTTCCATGTTTTATTTTTTCATTTTGCCTGTGATTGGTAACACAGCTATGTAGGTATTTAAGTATTTAGGCCTAAGTAATTGGCCAGTTCTTATTGTATAGTTTGATAAATAATTAAAAAAAAAAAGTAATAACTCTTTATTTAAGTCAATCACATTTTCTATTATAAGATAATATTTATTGATTCCATGGAGTAAGTACCCATTCTAGGTATTCACATTTTATATATTCTATTTAACACATAATGATTACAACAGAATAGATAAACAAATCTTTTTTTTTAATAATTATTTAAAAATAATTTTTGATAAGGAATACACTACTGACATAAAATATGTAGATGTTTAATTTTCATTATAGTGTAAAATCCAGTGCTTGAGAATTCAGTTAAAAAATGAGGACAGAGTTCAGTTTTAAAACTTTTAAACCATACCAGAAAATTGATACTGTAGACACAGTAATTGGTAGGAGACTTCATTTAATTTGTTTTGTATATAAATCAAAATTAAATGATTAATTTCATAAAAAAAAGACTGCCTACCTATGATACTTTGTAGATGAGTAGGCGACTATTATAAGTGAAAAATTGGGAAGGCAGGATATAGAGGGGAATTTAATGTGTATGTTTGTAATTAATGATTAATTATTGCTAAGGAAAATGATTCTGAGCAGAGCTCAGTTATAATATATTTATTTGCGTATGTTTATTTTATCACGAGTGTCATGATTATATCAAAACTGATTCGGTGCCATTTATTTAGCCAATGAAAGGGTGCAAACCCAACGCCATCTTTATACAGATTCACATAGGACTTGTAAGTTGCTGACATACCTATTTATTTTATCATGGACTCATATATATTTGTATATAGAAATTCAGGGTTTTTTATTCGAAATTGTTGACTCTACTCTAGATTAATAGAAAAAAATATTTCAAGATTTATATATTCCAGACTTTTACATTCCAGGTTTGTACGATTTAAATTTTAATACCATAAAACCCTGGATTTAAGATTTGTATTTTCAAAAATTGTATGTTCCAGATTTGCAAATTCAAGATTCGTACATTCCAGATTTTTACAAGTACCTCAATACAATATTTTAGCTACACATTTTGTATATTTATTTCTTTTTGTGATTTGGAATATTGTTATTATATCTAAAATGGGGTGAATAGAAATACTATACATCTATTCTGTGGTCATGTTAAGTTAGATTACATAGCTACTTAAAACTGCTTAAAATAACAACTTCTATTTAGACTAGATTTAGACGACAGTTTATCTGTACTACAATTCTGAAACATATATTCTGACTGTACAGTCAAATCGCTTAGTTTTAACTGAAGTGTATATGTTAATTATTAAAACAATTTATCTTTTAGATAAAAATGAACAGGCAAATTGCTCAATTTTAACTGAACGTGTTAAGCCTGTTTTAATGAATTGTTTTGTGAGAATAAGATGTTTCAATAGGCTGTACTATTTTGTTTTTTTTAGAATAATAAAATAATATAGGCACTTAATAGAAAATACATATAAAATCAACGTAAACTAAAATGAATAAATTATCAAATAAAAATGAAAAATAATTTAACCAATATTTAAATAATTCTTATGTGTAATACGACTGATAAGAATTCAGAATGGGGGTTGTAAAAAAAAAAGTTTGATTAAATACATGAATATTATTGTAATGAATACGGTAAACTCAGAAATGAAATAAATTTTTTATTTTGACTTTTTAATTCTTCACAAGTTTGAAAATCAATAAATTGAAAAGCATTTAAAACGCACGGTATTGACAAGAATCAAATGTGTCTTTTCTTTCTGGTTTAGTGGGTTAACACTGTGACTGAAATCACGCCTTATCATGTATTTAAGATTGATGTGTCCTTATCAGTACGGTAACCTAGGTATACCTGGTGTTGGTAAGACATATTTGAATTCGCGTCAAAATCGATCTTTTTAAACTAGGTAAATTTTAAAAAAAACCATAAGTCCTAAAACAATGAAAAAAAAGCTATATTTTCAATCAAATAAAGCTATAAAATTAGGAAAATTGTTAATAACTCCCATTACAATGATACTGAATATTGATAATAGTTGTCGAAAAGCTACGTAACAGATTATTTTCAAAAGTAACATTTTCATGATTTTAAATACCTACCCTAGTATTATTTTTCCAAATAATATTTTCAGAATTTATTAGTTTCTTAGTAAATATTATAGCCCCTTGTAATATTTTCTTCAATTTTCCATTTCTTATACATACAATTTCTATTTAAATTTATTCCCAGAAGTTTACTTTTCTGATTTTTATTTTCACGTGAATTTAGTTTCCTACTGAAAATTATTCCTTCAATGATATTGTTCCTAAGAAATATTTTCAACGTTTTACGAGTTTTCGTTTCCTAAAAAAATTTTTCCCGATTTATATGCGTCTCCATAATTATTTATACCTATAAGGAGGTACCTACAGTCTATAGACTTAATATTTTATCATTACTCATTTCATTGTTTTATATTATATTTATTATATAGGATTATATACGATTTTATAGATTCATTTTAGTCACGTGACTTTTTAAAAACATTTCGGCTCGGCGTACTGTGTTGTTTAGTCGTAGTATTTGATTAAAAGAATTGTACAACGTATCGTATCATTTGTATCAGCTGACCTACTGTACCTTACCATATCTATGTACACAACATTCGATAGTACATGACGCCGCCACTGCAGTCACTATAACATCGTAGCTTTAGGCTACTAAAATTATTTACTATTTTGTTATTAATAATTATTGTAAGTTTTTTTCGTTCATTCGCTTTTGCTTTTCGTCGTCTCGTTTTTTATACAGTACCAGCGGTTTGTCGACTATCGGTTTATGCATTCATTCCGTTCGGATTTATTTGGACTGATTGTTTACAGTTTTTTTCGATCATCGTAGATTGCAGGTAAGAATTATTTTAAACAGTTTATTATTTTGTTCGAGTTGGGTAGTTTGTTTTTGTTTTACGCTATTTTAACTGTGTCCGTCATTATATCTATTCATGTTTATACTTTTTCTTAAATGATCCATTGTTGTTAATTGCACTGTTTTAATTTAATTAAGTAGGTATATTATTTTTGGTCTTGTCATTAACTTATAGGTACTCAACAGGTATCTACTGAGTTGCCACCAATGACTACAATAGTTAGGTATTAATAATAATACCATTTCTTTTTTTATTTAGTAGGTGCTAAAATATTAAAATATCTATATTAATATATATATATATATTTGGTAGAAGATTACTGTTTCTTCGAGATGTTTATCCTGCCTTTATCTATTAATATTTTCTATATTACATTTAATATTTTGTTGTGTAAATCAGTTTAAACTATTACCAGTTTATCCACCATTTGTTGTTGGAGTAACTGTCTGTATGTAAGATTTACCAAAATAAATCTCAATAAAAATTTTACAAATTGAACAAATGTTCATGTTTCTAATACTTGTTTTTATTTGGTCGGTTTGATATAGGTACTAATGTGATAAATTGTCTTGTCTCCCTTCTTATTTAAATTCGTCATTAGGACCATCCTGAATTACACTGTTGCCTTCAGTTTTATATATCCGATGCTTGTATTCTTTAGTTTAAACCTGCTAATGTTTCCACATCATTCCTTATTATGCCCTCCCATCTCAGACTTGGTTTTCCCAGCGGTCTTTTCCAGTAGAATTTTTTTCTAGTACTACGCGTATAAGTGGGTTTTGGCTACGCCAAGTATGCCTAGCCCATTGTAATCATTTATTTCTTACCGTTTCCTGTATATTGGGTCCATGGAAGAGCGTTCCTAATTAATTGTTTTTCTTTATCCTATACTCACCACTTAGTATGCTATTTACAGGTTCAAAAATCGTTCGTAATATTTTTCTCTACAGAATTAAGAGTTTTCTTTTATTACTTTTTCTTAGTAGCCATGTTTGAACTCCATAAGTAATTAAAGATCGTATTAATGCAATATATAATTGTATTTTCAAATCCTTTAAAAGTGATTGTGATCCCAATAATTTAGCAAAAGCACATTGAGACATTTATTTCCTGACTGAATTCTCATCCCCTATTTCTTTTTCAATTTCATTTCTCTCTGACAATATTGACTTTAGGTATTTGAACTGTTTTAGATTCTGAGTAGAGTGAGGTATGTATTGGTTTTACAATAATATTAACATTTTTTTATTTTTTTTTTCTGTGCACAACTTTTCTACTAGCAATTTTACTTTGATTTTCAAGTGTAGCAAATTTTCTGAAAGAAAATTGGATTGGGGTGGTACTTTAGGAAGATCATTATTTTGATTTTCCCATGGGTTTTCATAATAAATGGAAAAAAATGGGAAAATATACAAAATGTATTATTTTCAAATCATAAATATTAGGTATGGCCTTTAAAAAAATGTAGAACTGAACTCCGATCAGAATTGTTTTTCATTAACAATAATCTTTGCATACAGATATACATTAAATTTTTTCTCCTATTTTCTCAACTTCTCAACTATAACAGTAACTGCCCATTATGTAAAGTATGTCTATTTATTTTGTTTTTTTGAAATTTCGGTTGTTGACTTTAATAGTTGGGTATTATCTTGTGATGTCTCATCTTCCTATGGTCATGTACTCCGTTTTGTGATTCCTTCATAATCATCAAATCATCTACATCCCCTGATTTAATTTATATTGGTTCCATAGTTATATTTTTTACTTTAACTTTAACTAATGTTTATAAAATGCTTATCTCTACTAATTTTATTAGCTTAACCTGGAAATGGATCTTCCTCATACTATTGATTAGGTTCTGTGTTTACTATCATATATTTTCTTGAACTCTTTGAAAAGTATGTGTAAAGTAAATTGTTTTGTACTTGTATTAAATTTCTAATGTCTAGATAGCCTGGAGACAGTATACAACATATGTAATTGTAATTGCTTAAATAGATAGTTTTTAGTGAGAAATCATAATATTGTGTTTGGAGGATTTCAGTATAAATTTAAAGCTAGATAATATGATTTCAGTGTTTATTTAGTACTGTGTCTAGTATACTATTACAATTTATGTATTAATGTGCATCTACCTTTCTACATGCAAAGAAAAAAAAAAGCAAAATAATAATAATAGTTTAAGTTTTAAAAAAATTTGAAGTGCACACTATTGAATAATAGGTAATAATTTAATATCATTTTATTAAAGTTGTGAGTATATTATCTTATTAAAAAAGTGGTGTGTTATATTAAATAATAAAATAGTTCAGTGTGATCACAGTTTTTTAATACATACATCCTGCTCAAGTATTTCTTTACTTCGCCCATTATTGTAGTCTTTTATTTCTTATTGGCTAGCATTAATATTGTTAATAGTAATTGAAGAACTCGGGAAAGAATTACAACATAGGCCGGATGTCTATAGATATGTATTGCACATATAGAACGAAAAATGATACCTATTTATTTTAACATCCTGTATTGTTAGGGTTACCATAATGCTTTTAGACCAAATCCGGACACCAGTTTGAAAATAAATAATAACCCAAAAATAACAAATAATATATAATAATATAATGTAATAAAAAATAGTGTTAATTCTCTTCAGAATAAACTATAGAGTCGTTATCCAGCACTAGATAGGTATGAAGTAAACAAATTATAACAATAATAGAAATAATATTAGTTTAATAATAATATTATTATTTTATGTCAACAATGATAATAATGGGTCCTACTACTAAGGTCCTGAGAAAAATATGAACAAAAATAAAAATTACAAATTATACTTATACAGAGTGTAACATGAAGATTTGACACATGATATAATATTTGGGACTGATATAGCCATGTTTTTTGTTTATTGTAAAATCCGGACAGTCTGTACTAACCCTATGTATTGTATGATTGTTGTAAATGTTTATAGATAGTTAATATTTTATTTTATTAAATAGTTTATGTACTAAAAATAAAAATAACAAATTTTTTTCAGATCAAGTGAATATTGTAATAAGCAATGTAATTCACTGGACCAGAACAATTTTTCTTAACAAATACCAGAAAAAATCCTTTACTTATCATGGTTCGTATCATTTAAAATTAGTTTTGTAATTTATTAAGAATTTATCAAAATCTTAGTGATTATTGGAAGTTTAAGCCAAATCTTCAAATTAGTATATGTAGCATTTATGTACTTTTTTAATTAGGTAATTACTTAACAAAATTATAATTAAAATTGATTTCCAATAGTAACTTAACTAAAATCTATAAAAATAATTTCTCATGTATTTAATGCAATATTATTATGATAATTAATATATAATATTGTAATCATACAGCAAGAAGAAAAATAGTAGGAAAAAAATTTATTTTTGGACTAATTCTAATAGAATTTGTTTATCCTAAGATTTACCAAATCTTGATTGTTTAAGACAGAATTACTATCATATCTTTTTCTTTTTACAGTCTATCAGTCCTTAAAATTATTCCGTCACACATCCTATTTTCCAACTTTGCCTATCAGCAGCTCTTGTTTTTCAATCTAATCCTCCATTCAGTGCCTCTTTTTTAATTACATCTTTCTACCTGAAATATATCATTCCAGTGGTCTTTTAACAACTGAATTCTCATCTATAATCATAATATATATAAGTTGGTTTTGGAATCACCACGTATATCAAGCTCACTGTAATCATTGGCTTCTGATTATCTTTAATATATTATCCTTCAGAAAAGCCTTTCTAATTAATTATTCTTCCTTGGTATACACTCTTCGTCCCTCATTTATCCAAAAATCTGCCTTAGGATTTTTCTTTCAAAAACCATTAATATCCTTTTCTCCTATTGTAACATATATAATATAATATATACATTTTTTTTTTACCAAAGAACCTGTTGGTTTTAAATAAATCTTTAATGTTATATATTTTGGCTTGAATTTTCAATAAGCATTATGACATAATATGTAAGAGCTAGAGTTGCCATTTTTCAGGATTATATGCTATAATTAAAACGAAAATTCTTATTATAACATTTATTTTTATTTATAAAATATAAAATGTATAGGTACCTATGTAAATCTACTGCTAAATGCTATAAATTGAAATAAATCATTTAAATTAAAGAGTGTTTTTAATTAGTACTGACTTAATTAAATTTATTTGTTATGGGGATGGGCTACTGGTATAAAACAAATACAGATATCCAATGTTTTAAATTAAAAAGCATAAGTTATTATTGAAATTAATCAACATATTAGTTGAATACTTGGTTTTACTAATATTTTTTTCATATTTCAGACAATATTGATATTTTTTAATGTTCTGATAAAAAAACATAGGGTATAAAACTGATATCAGCAATAATGGTTGATAGTGTCTGTTAATGTATTGGCTCACCCCTATCATTTCATAAATAGAACATTTGTGAGAAAATAAGTAACAAAATATATTTGTTAATCAAATGGTCTATGGTAAATAGTTTTGTTAATCAAAATAGTGAAATGTATTATAAATGTGGTATCGATGTGTTCATGATAATACTTTGTAAATATTCAGGAAAACATTTTAAAATGTATTGATTTACTTATGGCAACTTTAGTTTAATAATGCATATGTTCATATTTACTGGCAAAATTGTTCTTAATGTCTACAGTTTTGGTTATTCAACTTGGTAATGATTGTTTACGAAAATTAAAAAGTAATAAATGAACCTAGTTGTTTTTATCCGTGGGTTGATTTCAGAATGAAAAAGATGACATATGAACACGATCTAAACATCTAACATACTTGTTATTGCTATTTAAGTGGAAGTCAGTATGATATGTAATATGGTTGTATATTTATAAAAAAAATTTGTTATTTAGATATATCCTATTTTATATAGGTGTATCTCAGGATTATATGTTCTGGTGGGATTCAACTAAATATCTACATGTCTTTTTGAAAATTATTTTAAAAACTAATACATACTTCATTATTTTGCATTTTTAAAATAAATATTCTAATTTTATATAAGTATATTCGTAATAATATTACAATTACTAGAATTAGTAATTCTGAGAAATACTGTGTTCTACATTTAGTACATATTTTTTTTTTAAGTGTTATGAATATTTTATTGCCAACTATATAAAAGGTTTATTTTTAGTGTGTGAGATACTAATTTAAACAAAATAATCTGTTATACACTTAAAATAAAAGTATGTAATTTAATATCAACTATGTCATGAATTATATTTATAATACAAAAATGTTTCACTTTTGAAATGAGGTACATGCTTATGTATGACTTTTTTTTATAAATTTAAACCTATAAGAATATAAAATAAAACGTTAATATATAATATTATTTAATGCAATTTTATCATGCAAGTCAATTTGAGTTTAAGTGTATCAAATCAAATACTTAATTGTATGTTTCCTAGATTAAATGGAACTTTATACACTGATAAATTATTCTATGCATGCATTTAGATCATAATTTTATAACCTACCTATTGGAGAGCTTTATTATACAAATTTTGTTTAAAACACATATTTTTTCAAACATAATTTTTATTTTTTATAAAAAAATATAGGTTAATTTGGATGAACCACCTTTTCTTGCTGTTGGCACAGAAGTTAGTGCGAAATATAAAGGTACATTTTGTGAAGCAAAAATCAAAAAAATAACTAAATCCGTTAAATGCAAAGTAAGTTAATATTTTATAAAACACAGTCAAATTCGTTTATTACGATGCCATATATAATGATATTCCGGATAAAATGATTCCAAACAATGTATTTGGTTGGTTTTATATGTTATGTGTAGTACTATTATTCGTATTTAACGATATTAGTTCCGGATATAGCGATGTTATTTTGAAACGAAAATTGGTTCTTTTAATCGCCTATAGCAATTTGATTTCGTTCATTTTAAATTACTATCTATTTCAGAAATATATTTTTATATTGATCAGGTGCGTACTTTTGTTTCGATAAACAGTGATATAAATACATACTGTACAGTAGAAGTATTAATGGCATTAAACAATATTTCTAATTTTGTTAAAAAATCTTATTCAAATTATAAACAAACCACTATAATAGATTATTTTTCAAATAAATCGTAAACATATAATATATATAATATGTACTTTTATTAAAAATTATAAATACCTTGAATGTTAAAATATGTAATCTTAAATAAAATTATACAGTAAAACATTTGTTTAATAAATCGATTTTTTAAAAAAATCAAGTTACTTTTTATAATCCAGATATAACAAAGTTCGGTTCTAACGATCAGATTCCCTAGGTCCCTTAAAGATCGTTATAAGAGAATTTGACTGTATAATTCATTAAAAAGAGTACTTTTCATTACAGTAATATGTTTAATATTAAGGTTCAATATGATAATGGATCGACCACATTGGTCTCCGATGAAATAGTGAAAGGACCATTAAAGGTATTATTATTTATTTTAAATGAGAATAAATATATTTTAGTACACAAATTGTAATCTTAGGTTGGAGCTACAGTTGAAGTAAAATGCACTGACAAAAAAGAATTAGTTGGAGCAAGAATAAAAAAAATTCAAGATTGTAGTCAATATACTGTGGGTATGTATGGTAAATGTTTAATTGTAATGTCTAATATATATGCATTATACTTAAAAATTATTATTAATTATTTACAAGGTGTCCTATTAGGATTCAAGAAATGCAATAACTTTTATTCTATTTAATATTTTTGATGTACATTTTTTAAATAATAAGTATGCCCCAACACTACATTTATATATGAACATTTTTTTTAGAGAGATTGGGACTTAAAATAAAAAATTTAAAATGTTACTATAATTTTTTTAAAAAATTCAAAATAACCATTTTGTAAAATAAATTTTTAGAAAGACTTTGGTGGTTGAAACTTTTGTTAATGATCTTTTATTTTCTACAGTTTTTTGAAAATTTGAATAATTTTCTTTTCAATCTTAATAATATTTTTATCAACATAAAGTTACCATTATTGATATTTGGATAATGCATGGAAATAAAATCCTTACCAATAACTGATAACTGAATAACCGCAATAGATAATATTCACATTTGCGAAAACTTCAAAAAATTGTATAAAATAAAAGACCATACTTTAACAAAAATTTCAACCACGAAAAATTTTCTAAAAATTTATTTTACAAAATGGCTATTATGAATTGTTTAATAAAAATTATAATGACATTTTAAATTTTTTATTTTAAGTCCCCCTCCCCTTAAAAAATAATGTTCATATATATACTGTAGCGTTGAGACATAACTATTATTAAAACAAATTTATATCAAAAATATTGAATAGAATAAAAGTTATTGCATTTGCCGAATCCTCATGGGACACCTTATACAGGGTGTCCTACAATATTAAAAAAAAAAAAAAATTAAATACTAACAAAACATTTTTAAAATATAGGATAATTGTATATATTTTATTTTTTGACTTAATTTATTATTTATGTATTACAGTTTTTAATGATGGAGATGTAACATGTTTAAAAAGGACTGCATTGTATTTGAAAACTAAAAGAGACTCTGATACAAATTCTAAACTTCCTCTTAACAAACCAGAAAATAATTGTATACCAATGCAAAGTGTAGTATATAGTCGACGAAATCGACAGTCTAATCAAAGTTCTGGGTAAATAATTATACATTTATTATTTTAGTTAGCTATTTAATCAAACATTTTACTAGATAAATTACTTTAAATGAGAACATTAAAGGTATTAAAGAAAATATTATTTTATTAAAGAAATATCGTAAAAAAAATTACATACATTTTAGTAAAAATAGTTGTTCATTGATTTCTACTAATCAGTTGTTATTCAAATAGAACTTAGGTATTTTTCTACAATATGATACCAAATTTTTGTTGTATTAAATATTAAAAGTAGAAAATGTTTATTTAAACCAGTTTATGTATTTTTTTTTATTTTTCATATTTATTTTTCCTATAGGATGTTGGTATCATATTGTAGGAAAATATCTAAACTTTTGTAATATGAGGTTTTCATATAAAAACTGCTTTTAATTTGAGTATTTGAAGTATATTAAACTATGTGGTGGTGAGTCAGTTAAACCGATAGGGTCATGTGGCCAAATCTAATGAACCCATTCTATTCTTTTAGGGTATCAAAATTTTAATTATATATGTACTAACAATTTTTTTCTTGAATAGTCCTTCAATGTATATATATATATATATATATCCGAATGAAAACCCTCCATCAACTGTGTGTAAACATCTTGGTAAGAAAAAAAAAACTTAAGTTAGGAAAGTTGTGATATCAAATAGGGGCCAAGTAATTTCTTAAAATCATTAGTATAGAAATTGTTTATATTTGATAAAGTGTGATGATTTAATACAAATAATTTAACCTAGTTTGGCAGTTACAAATATTTATGACTACAAATAAAGATACAATACCAACATGAATATTTACATCTCCATATTTTAATTTTATAATATTAACATAACACTATTTTAGTATACATTAAATTAAATTAAATTATTGCACTTTATCAAATATAAATAATTTCTATACTAATGAATTTAAGAAATTACTTAGCCTCTTTTTGATATCGCAATTTTTCTAACTTGAGTTTTTTTTCTTAGCAATTACGCATTCAACATAAATTGTCAAATTGTTGAAAAAAAAATAGTGTTTCAAGTAAAAACTATGCTAATACTTTTGCATATTACTCAGGCTGTAATTATCAGTGATAAACTTAAAATTTATAAAGGTATCATCTGCTTAAAATACTGATCAATCCATGTAAATTTCAAAACAATTAGTCCATTAGTTTAGGCTACAGAGAGGTTAAACCATTTTTTGTAAAATTACACAGGTTAAATGGGAGTTGGCTGTCTCATTCACTGGATATATATTTGTTATACATAAATATTGTAATATTCAATTTAGACAGTTAACTAATAAATTAATAAATTAACAATTAAAAAAAAATATATTAATATTGTTTATATTACCTTAGTATACTTTAATTTTATCTATAAAACTGTCTTGAGTTATAGAGGAATAATAATTGATTTAATTAATAATATTTTTATTCTTCTCTGTTGTAAAGAACAAATCAGTTAAATATTTTGATGCAAGAATACAATTTTACTGAATTAAAGGTTGTTATCTAATTTTATTTTTTTAATTCACATAGTTTTTAATTATCCAATCAAATAGTTAGAAATTACTTTTATAATACATTAATTGTACAAAATTTTAATAATACTATTATTTGTTTGGTATTTTATTTATTAGACAAGAGAAAATTTCTACTGAAATGGATAATAAAGATATTGGAAAAGTAGTTTGTGTGGAGTCTAATGATAAAAAGAAAATTAGAGATAATTGGTTTCCTGGTTTAGTAGTAGCTCCAACTGCACAATTGACAGTCAAAACTAATATTGAATTTGACCATTTAGTTCGGTCATTTAAGGATGGAAAATAGTAAGCTTTTTTATTATTTATTGAACCATTTTAATGAGTAAATAATTTATTTGTATTCTTTAAACAAAGCTATACTATATCAAAAAAAGATATTTCTCACTTTACTAAAGAAATTGGAGCAAGAGTAGAAAATCCTACTCTTAAAACTGGTATGTATTTCAATATACACTATTAAATATTACACAATGTTTATAAATTATAATTTAAAATTGTTAATTTATTTAGCGGTTGAAAAAGCTATATTGTATATTGACAAAGATGAATTACCCCCCCATTGGGATCGCGATTTATTATTTGGTGTGGAAAAAAATTGTGTAATTACAGACAGTGAAGGAATATTAGATGATGTAATAGAAAAATTATAATTTTATTAATATATAAACTATTTTAATTGGTTTTCCTGATAATTAAATTTGTTATTTTTAAGTATTCAGAGGAAGAGTCTATTGAAGAAAAAGATCATTTTGTTGCACAATTATTTAAATTTATGGATGATCGCGGAACACCTCTAAATCAAATTCCAGTAGTACATGGAAAAGATGTTGATTTATATAAACTGTTTAAGGTATTTTTATTGTTAAATTTAGAGCAATCAATTTTTTTCTATTTAAAAAAAAAAACTAATGATAATTACATCTTATTAAATATTATATTTAAACTTTATAGGGTTAACCCTATAGCTTTAACCTTCTAAGGTTTCTCTTTCACAATAATCACTAAAAAGTTTAAATTTTCTTTACCTTTACTAAACTATTAAGGAAGCTTTAAGAACACTTTAATATTTGATATGATTTGAGCATCTTATTATCCTCTTAACTGTTCACAGATGTTTAATATCAGTAAAAGTACAGCGAATAGGTGAAATTCCAGAATAAAAAAACTTCTCAAAATATATACTAAATGAAGGTTTTAATTTAAATGTATTAAAATTATTAGTTAATATTATTTTTTCTGAAGCCTTTTGCTTCCCTCCCCATGGGTGTTCATGGTCCCAGGTAGCTCAGATGATAAAGCAATCACCCAGCAGATCAGAAACTGATTTGATTCTTGGTCCAGTCACTTGATTTGTAGCACTATTTTCTGTCAAGAGAACATGGTCATAGAGTAATAACTCATTATGAAATTATTATTTAACATAAAAGGTTATTTTCATTTGTTGGTTTTTATTATTATTTATCTTATTTTGTCTTCTAAAATATTATTATAAAGTTTGTTAGTATGGTTGAATTCAGTTATTTTAAAATTATAAACAAATATATTTTCATTTATAGGTAGTTAATACTTTGGGTGGTTATAACAAAGTTACTAAATATAAACAATGGAAAATTGTAAGCTGTCATATTGGACATAGTAATTCAATTTATCAAATAAAACAATCTTATCAAACGTAAGTGTATCATTTTTATGATATAAAATTGTTGTATTATATTTCATTATTTTTATATTAATTTACAGTTATTTACATAGTTTTGAAGATTTTTATCGGAAATTAGGATGTACTATGTTAAGTCACCCCAGAGGTGTAAGATCCCGTAGTCGCTTTAGTCGTAATATAATTCGAGATATAGATAAATCTTTACCTAGTACATTAACCAATGATAAAAAGCCACTTATAAAACAAGAATCAACTGATAATAAAATAAATAAAGCAGAAGCTTCTGTTAAAGAAAATGATGATGTTTTTAAAGATCCTATGGTGATAAAAAAAACAACTAAAACTACTAAGTCTGAAGAAAAACTTTTATCAAAAAACAACGATGACTCCAAAAAAGGCGATAAAAAAAAAGATGATAACAATGCATTGCGAAATAAATCTTCAATTAAATGTGATCCTGATATTTTAGATTCAAATGGTTCTAAAATAAAAAAAGACAATTCAAAAAAAGAAGATATCACAAAACCAGATAGTACTGAAAGTAAAAAAACAGAAAAAAGAAGTTATACAAGAAATTTATTTGGAAAATCAATGCGTAAAAATACTAAAAGTGAAAAAATTGAAAAAGTGCAAACAATTGAACCTGGGTTATCAAGTTCTAGAAAAATGCGATCATTTAAAGATCATCTCAAGGTTGTTGTTGTTAATGTATTAACTCCATTTAAAAAATCTAAAAGAGGTGGTGCCCAGGCAGAAACTTTGAATAAAATCAAACCGGATGAGGATGTACCCAAAGTAAAAATATATTACTTAGTATATATAAATTAATAAGAAAAACTTAATATAAATAGTTAATTATACTGTGTCTTCAATTTTAAAGGCAACATGAAATATTTAGAGTGAATTTTATTGAGGGGGAGGGTTAATGTGTACAGGACACATGAATACACTTTGTTTAATAAATTTTAATTTTTAACTATCCACAGTAAAATAAAAATGTCTAATAGGAAGCACTGTTTTTGGACTGGATTTGGATTGTTTTATTTTTCCAAGGAACTTCAACCTTTACAATTTTTAATATTTTCAAAATTGACTTTTTAAGACAATCAAAAGTTCAAATAAATTATTATAATAATACTTATAAATGTGTGACTATTGTAAAATGTAATAATTACAAATTATCTTATTCTAAACTTCAAAATCATGCTATTTCCTGTTACCTTTAATATTGAAGAGTATAATAAAATTAAATATAATTTCATGAGAGTGATTTTATGTGATATTATGACACTGTTAATATTAATTGGGTACTATAAAGTAATGAAATATTTTCTAATAATAACAGTAATTAATTATTGTATCTAAAATTTTCAATTTAAAAAAAAAATATTGAATTTTTTAAATTTGATTTTATTAATTTTCTAGCTTACACGGTCAAAGTCCAAAGATGATGTTTCTAGCAAAAGAAAATTGTCAGTCTTAAGTGACCAAGCGTTAAACCTGCAAGTTTTAGTTCCAAATCAAAGTCCATTAAAAAAAGCTGATGGAAATGAGAGAAAAAGAAATGTAAAAAAGAAAATTCCCGAAAAAGATGAAAAATTAATTTCAAACAATTCAAATTCTGTACCCATGTAAGTTTGAATACATTTTACTTTTACAAGGTAATTGTTATTTAATTTAATAATATTTCAATATTTGTAATTAATTTATTAATAGTGGAAGTCAAGCAATAATAGATAAAATGATGGCATCAACAATTACTGTTAATGATGATTTGGAAGTTTACTATGGAGATAAACACGCTACAACATATGATGCAAAAGTAAATTTAATTGAATTAATTATGTTTTTATATGAAATGCTTCATTATTAGTTAAAATAAATTGTTAACAAATTTATGAGATATTACTTAATAATTATATTATAGAATTTAAAATTTACTTAATTTTCATTACCCAATAAAATTAAATATATTCAAATATACATTTTAATTTGATTTAATTTAATAATAATAATTACAGATGTGAGCCTAATTTACGATAAGTTTACAATGATAATAATATAATGTATTGGTAGTTATACCATAATATACAGGTATTAAAATGATAAATAATTAGTAAAATACAAATTTTTAAAAAATAATGACTATTATTACTCTTGGTACTTCCAGCTAATAATAATATATTATTAATAGGGGAATATATCAAAAATGTTTTTGAATAATTAGGAATGTAAAAAAGATATTTGTTTAGCATACTATAAAGGTTTATTTTAAAAGAGATGAGACTTAATAAGGATATAATCCATTTATATAATTGTTAAATAATTTACTTAGAAATCTTGCATAGGAGTAATTTCTCCCAAATTTGCAATGTTTGTAAATTTGATATTTGTAGAATATGGTCATAGCAGGTAACTTAAATATAGTATTTATTATTTCTTAAATTTACATGCAATGAATTAAAGTCCATGTTTCCCATATAGTGTATACTCTGAATGAATATAAATAAGGGAAGATTAAAGACTTTTGAAGGTATTAGGATTACTAAAATAAGGACAATTTCCATTTATCATAAATAGATAGTGAGTTCTTTTTAATTTCAAGCATATGTAAGATAAATAATGATTTTGAATTAAAGATTACACCAAGGTTTTTAATCTTAAGTGTTAAATTTAAGAAATTATTTTACAATTTATAATTAAAAGTTAGTTGGTTACAGTTTTTGGAAAAAGAGTGGCATTTATTGAAATTAAGAACACCAATTATTTATATTATTCAAATATTTTTACACTATGGAAAATACTACTTAAGTATTAAAAAAAATTAAATTAAACAAAATATAGCCTGGAGTATTATTAAATTTGATGGTTTTAAAAAACTATCATTAGGTAATACAATAATAAAGGGGTCAAATATTAAAATACTGAATATAAAGTCAAAATGAGGAATACATATTAAAAAATTACTATTTTTTACACAAGGAGGGTAGTAAACCAATTCTATTAGACAAAATTGAAAAAGTAGGATAAGATAATAGATTTGAGAAGTTTTATTATTATTTAAATAATATTATCAAAGAATATTATTTTTAAAATTTGTCTGAAATAGGAGATATTTTCTTGAAATTCTTAACACTATAATTTATTTGGTTTATTAAATTATTATTAGCCTTGGAACCACCTTTATCATTACAAGATATAACCATAAAGTAAAGTTAGTGAGTAAATTACAATTTATTACAATTTATTGAATGGTTCATTACAGCACATCATAATTTTTCAAAATAGGCACCTCCCGCAATGAGTCATCAACTCCAGCTATTTTTCTGGACATTGAATAAGATCTTGATACAAGCTGCTTGGATGTTTTTCTTTCATTGGTCCTTTCAGGCATGGAAACAAAAATCGGTTAAGGAAAATCAGGTCTAGACTTTAGAGGGAGGCTGGGGAATCTTTTGATGAACTCCTGCTTTGATCAGATAGTTGGTGGCAAGGAAGGTACTGTATTTTGACTTGTACAAGACCACAAAACATTTTCCATCGAAATGCCAGGTCTAACTAGATAGATGGCTAGAGACCCAGAATTCATTAGATGACTTTTCTCATTACCATTTCTTGTCTTTGTCATTACTTTCCAGATGTACTTTATATTATTGTTTAGAATCGTTGTGAATTTATTATTGTATAATAACTTATGATGATTTGTGCAAAGTTTGGTTATGTGTGTTTTGAAATTCTATTTGTGATTTTCATCAAAATGTGAACTTAAAACCCTTATATGAAAAAACTACTATATTACACATTTTTTCCGTGGACAATTTTTCTACCAGAAATCTTGTTCCGATTTTCAATTGTAGCACTTTTTCTGAAAAGGAATATAACTGGGGTGGTACTTTAGGGAGGTAATTTTTTGATTTCCCCGGTAGAGTTTACCCGGTAAATGGGAAACACATTGGAAAAAAAAATACTAATGCATATGTATTATTTTACTATAATATGACTTATATATTGTTGACTGAACTCTGCTCAGAATCTTTAATCAGCCCGTACAGACACACTGAATTTCCATTGTCTTCTCAATTTGGCACCTATTTTTGAAGTACAACTTATAATGAACCTGTCAAATTATTTTTTTGTTTGGTGAAATAATTTTATCCATATAAATAGTACATACAAAAAACTCCTAAATATAAAATGCCTTTTGAAGTCAATGCTAGGAGTATTTTGTTAAAATGTCAGTTCTCTACAATAATTTTTAACCAATTTACTACAAAAACCAAAATCCAAAATGATAAAACTATTAATGTAAACTTTTCCTTTCTTTCTATGTTTTTCCAGGTTTTACTCGGTTATTTAAAAAAAAAACTACATTAAAAATCAAAACCAAACTCCTTATTAACCAATGAGATCTTAAATGCAACAATAAAGGTCCCTTGTCTGTTTTCGATTGGAGCAATATTTTTGGAGTAAACATTTTAAATAATGAAATTGTAATGTATCAATTTTTTTCATTTTTTGAATAGAGTATGATTTCTGGTAGAAAAGTTGATCACAGACACAATACAGGAAAACTAATTTGTTCTTGCTCTGCTGAGAATTAAAAAAAATGAGAATATGTATGATTGAAATCATGCAGAATTTAAAGTCCTAAGATCTAATACTAATAATTAATACTTAATACTTAATATAGCAGCATCTAAAGTCTTCCTATATATATTATACTATAACTTCATTATTGATTATGTTCATTGTTAGATCTAGGAGATTTAATTTATTTATCTAATTAATCCTTGGAATAATAAAATGAAAGTGACATCGAGATGGCAGTGACCTGGCACCAGATTGGTCAACATAGATTCAACAATTTTGTTATATTTTTTTATATCTTACAGATGCAAGCACAACAAGCATTGTAATGGTTTCATTGTGTGCTTTATTTATGTATTTTTTTCTGTCTGTTAATAACTTTTTTACCAGAAACCTTTCATAGATTTTTAAGTGAAAGATCTTTTTTTATTTTCAACCAATACAAAAAATTACAAAAAAAATTTTAAAAAAATACCTGCTCATCGCACCAACTAGATTCAAAATTCCATATAAAAGCTCTTTTGTATTTTTTAACTAGAGTGAAATTTCTGGTAGCAAAGTTATAAACAGAAAAAAAAAGATCACACATAGTAAAACCAAAACACTCCTTACTTTGCTCAGAATCTAAAAAGGGTACCAAGTTATCAATTATTTACCTTCATAGTTTTGGTCTTTAAGATCATCCTGCCCAATGATAACTTTACTAATTTACCTAACTTTTAACCTAATTAATCGTAATTTTTCTCTTTCTAATAATAATCCCTTCCAATCTTCTGGCTCCTTTTTTCTACATTTTCTTGGATAACTCAATGGTTAATGTTCTTTTTTCTTGGAGGTGGGGAGGGGTGTTTTCTAGGACCTTCCAACAATCCTTCATTACATCATTGAAAAGAAAATTTTAAAATAATTTTTTTGTGTGGGGGGGGGGGGTTAGTTAGCAATCAATTTGTGGTCTAATTGTCTAATTTTATTGACTGAAATAATTATTTCTCAATAATATAATGCAATTCAAACAATTTAAATTCTGGGTTCAACCCATCCCCAGGTACAGCCTTGAGTCCACCAGCCCAAGCAATCTTTCAGTCCAGGAAGATATATCTCCTTAACTCCCATAACAAGTCCCCTACTGCATCAATATATCTAACATAAGCCTTAATAAAATTTGTAAATTGTGTTATTGAATATTATTAGTTTTATGTAACTAACTTACACTTGCATGTAATTTTCAGATAAAACCATCAAACTTCATAATGTTACTTTGCTTCAGGGCTCGAACCCTCCTGAAATGTCAGACAATAATTTTTTAAAGTGAATTGATACAATAATAAAAAAAAAAAAACTATTTTATACAATGATGCCATGCTAGACCAGCATCCACTGTCCCAATATGAGGAACAGTCAGTGGTTAATTGTGGCATAGAATAATGGTTAAATGTTGGGTATTGACCCAATTTCTTTTAAAAATTAAGCATAGATCTATTTCATTTTGGATTGTAGTTTGGTTGCTTATCTCAATGAATACTAAGTACAGAAATAAAATCTATACTAATCATAATTTTGGATATAAAATGGGCTGTGTTTAGTTATTGGTTCCACTTAAAATATTTATTACTAGATTTTTAGGACTTTAATGCCAGTGTTGAGTAAAAGTAGGGGGGAGATGCCTCTATTTATTTAAGTTAAAATTAATAGTCCCCATTAGTTTAAGTCTTTGATGTCCAGAGTTATAGGGAACTATTTAGTTATTGATATGGAGCTATTTTTAATGAAATTTAAAACTCATTAGTTTTATTATAAAAAAAAATACTTTAATATCTATTAGATTATGCATAAATAGACTCTTTTTTTCATTTTATATTTACTGAGCAAGCATAAAAGACTAATATTTTATGGAGGGAGTATGCAATTTATTTTTAAATTTTTTATTATAACATTTGAGTGAACTAATCTGTGTATGAGAGAAAAAAATGTGGTCTTGTCTTTATGATAGGTTTCCTGAAAGTTTGGTTAAGTTTAGTTAGTTCTCAGAAACTTGGGATTGAATTGTGGAATAAAAAGTAACCTATATTATGGCCTGGAGAATCTAGCTATCTTGCTATGAAAGTTTCATTAAAATTGGTTCAGTTATTTCAGAGATTAGTTTGGATAGACACTTCAATTTTATTTATGTGTTTACTGTTATCATGGTTTTTCTTGTAATATATTTAAAAACAAAATAAATATTATAAGTACAAATATTATTTATACTCGTTGTTTACAATACTTCAGCTGCTTTTTATTAATTTAAAGAAATTCCTCATAAATTATACTTGGGTTTTCAAAAAGATAAAAAAAATAATCATAATATAAAAAAATAAAACTTTAGTAGGGATGCATAGTTAAAATTTTGGTGATTAGCAAATTAGGTTATTTCATTCTTGGTTAACCAAACTTCACTAGGATTTGTTTTCCTTAGCAATGTTTTATCATTATAACAAATATTAATTTCTTACCTTTATATATCCTACCTTCCAAATTTTTTAACGCATGTTTAAGTGTTATTGGAACAAAACATTTTAGTTTTTTTTTTTATACATAAATTTGTTGAATACTTTACATCAGTGTGGTCCAACTTTTTATATCCAATTTAAACTTTCTCGTAATAACTGTTGGTTGTTTTAGCCACAACTGAAAAAAACAAAAGATAGGCAAATTTACCACATCTTTTATTACCTAAAGATAAATATAAATTGGATACCCCTGAACACAAAAAAAAGGTGGCGTGGGTTTTATCAAACTCCTGTATATTTATTTATAATTTTTTTATCTAAAATATATTAAAATTATAGTATTGTTATTTATGTTTCAAGGTTCTTAATGTATGTGATATTGAAGGTGAATTGAAATATTATGTACACTACAAAGGATGGAATTCTCGTTATGATGAATGGATCGATATTTCACGTATTGCTTCTAAATCAGAGACTCCAGAATCTGGAATAAACAACAGTGCAGAACCAGCAAAAATTGAAGTATGTTTAATTGGATTATAAATATAAAACCACGAAAGTATGAATTATTTATTAAAACTGTATAAATACTAATGATTCATTCACATTTGTTTTAGTTTAAATTATTATATTAAATCATTAATACTCCAAGGGTATATTTGAAAACACCACTAATTACTTTCAAGTTACTTAGGGTTTTTTTAACAAAACATGTAATGGTTTCATCAACAATAGATTGTCAACTATCAGTTTTTTAGAGTACAAGATTAGATTGATAAACATATACTTGTCCTACTTTTTATGAGTTTTATACAGTTTTAACCAGTCTTGCACATAATTATCACTGAGTATTGATGTCGAAAAATGTATAGTTCTCTACAGCAGGAGTGAACACATCGACAACTTATCATTATTTTCTTAGCTCTCACAATAATATCAGGCTATAACAATTAACAAGTCATTTTTTCTTGCGCCTCTAGGTAAAACCTCTGGCATTGTTAAACTCATCATCCTTTGAAAATCCGGTTATTTTTATAATATTGATAACGATTCTCCTAATAAAGGTATGATAAGGTGGGTATGTGTGGCTTTTTTTTTTTTTTTAGTAAAATTATCATTAAATGGACTTTGTATTAATTAAATATTTATCAGACATTATATTATACAATTTTCTAGAGAACATAAATTTCCGCTCAATAGGTCCAATAAATTACAATTTAACTGATTTTTATAAAAAAAAACTTTCCCCGTAATTTGGAGCAACTGTAAATCGTTCAAAAGAATGTTATTGAATAAATTTAAACGTTTTGAGGTGAGTGAGATGATAAAAATTGAACCACTTGTTTAAGAGTTATCAACTTTTTCATAAATGTTAATTATAGTAAATCAGATTTCATGTCTACAGCCTATCCCTACATGATTTTACTAGTTCACACTTTCCCCACATCCCACTTTAATGACGGGACAAGAGTGAAATCGAAATTAAAAAAATATAATGTAAAATAATGTTATTTAATTATTATTAAAATATAGAATATATTTAATTTACTAACATTTGTTTCACTAAAATTATATAAAATTAAACATTTAATGAAGTACAAAACGATACCAAATGTTAACACTCAAGTTTTATCAGGCCACTTTATGCGGGACTTGATAACACTATATAAAAATAATGTGATGAACATAAAAATGTTAACAGCTCCAAGGGCACAATATGACGGATCAATTTAATATAGTATTTTGGTGTATAATATTATGGATTTTATCATGTCTAAATGTCTCATAAACAAACTTACCTCACCTTTTTAATAAAACGTCCGCACAGAGGGGGGAAACCCAATTCATCCATGCCGCAGATAACGTTTTACATTATTAGGTATTATCTATAATATATTTTTCCTAATGAGAATAATAAATACCCGGTTACGATAAATCTATTTTTAAATAGTTTTATTATAGTTCAGAGAGAATATAACTAGAAGCAAGCCGCCAGTGGTTCTCAACTTATAAAATATATAAGGGAAATTTTCATATGTAAGAAATGAATTAAATATTACATAAAACAATACTAGTTTTAACTAAATATGAATAATGAAAATATGTATCAAATATAAAATACAAAGAGTTGATACTGAGGACGGGAGTGCCACTGTTTTTCACAGCAGAAGGGAATTTTCCTAGGATGGTACTTCAAGGTCATTTTTTGATTTTTCAGGGGCTTTCATAATAAATTGTTTTTCATAAGTTTTCATAATTAGTAAAAAAATATTACTAGCTTTTTTTTTATGGACAACTTTTCTACCAGCATGCTTTAATTTACTATGATAGAACTTTTTATGAAAGTAAATTTGACTGGGGTGTTACATTAGAAAGGTCATTTTTAATTTTCTCAGGAGGTTACTCAATAAATGGGTAAACCTAGACAAACGGGGAGGGGGGAATAGATATAATATTAAACAAATATTATTAAAGAAAAAGAAAATATATAATGCATATGTAATTATTTTTACTATAATATGACATATATATTTATTTATTTATTTATTTATTAATACGGACAAAAGTCCAATTCACAATATATTTGTATAGATAACAATAAAATATAACTTATATAAATTATAAATTTATATAATTTAAAATAATAAAATATAACATAATAAAAAATGAAAAGTATAGTAAAAAAGTAAAAAGCAACACTGTTAACCAAACTCCGCTCAGAATCACTTTTTTATCAGCAATGGTTAGTGGTTGTATACACATAAATACATTAAATGAGAAATTGATCTGCTTTATTTAAGGGGAACTCTACCTTCCCAACAATAGTACAATAGTGACACCATCCATTTGTTTATACTAGGCATAAAAAGTTGACAAAAAAAAATATCTATCTTGTATGGGAATGATGTAGGTTGAACTATTTTTTTTTGAAAAGAAAAAAAATATTTAGTATATTGAGTATTCCATGACACTTCTTTTATCTTCTTTTTTTTTAATTTCCTAAAATTTGGTCAAAATAATCAAAATAAATAATAAATTATTATGTACACTATCTTTTTTCTGTATCAATCAAAAAGTATTTCAGTCAAATTCAAACATATTTTTTCAATAAACATTAATCATTTTTCAAATCATGCAAAAAATTTAATAACTGTTCGTTATTTTGTTTTAGCCTAATATTTTTTTTATAAAATTTAGAAATTTAGTTTAAGCAATCAAGCAATGACAGTCCTGTCAAATTTGTAATTAAACTATTACCCAGAAAATTTTGATTTTATACTGAATTAAATGGGCTGAATTAATTTACTTGCATTTATTTACTTGTACCATGTTGTATAGCTACACTTTGAAGACCAGAACATTAGAGAAAATTTATTTCTGATTTTGAGATTGCACATCACCAATTAAGTTCCTTTTCCTCAGATATGAAAGTTAGTCTGTACAAAAATACTACCAGAAAAATTAAACACACAAATTAGTGATAAATATATTTTAATTTTTTACATTCAACATTTTTTTACATTAATAGAAAGGTGGGGGGAACTAGTCCGATTACTTCAATTTTAAAAATAGGTGACCCAATATTAGTAATTAATATCAGGCTATTCTTCAGGAGATCTTCCTTTTATTAGAAAGTTTTTCAAATAATTGGTTCTTAAACGAATATAAAGAGTTCTTTACCTACATTATCTATAGCATGGCTTTTTCCTATATTATTTTAAACAAATTTTAGGAAACTAAAAAAATTAATTAATAGTTAATAATAAGAAAATGACATGGAATGCTCTATAAATTTTCTACCGACACTCAAATAAGAACCACCTTAATATACATATATAGAGATATAAGGATATATATAATATATATATGCAAAGCAAATAAACTAATATTGAAAAAAAATAAATGAATGATATGTATATATTTTAGATTCTGAGTGGAACGAGGAATGTATTGTTTTTATAATAATGTTTATTTTTTCATTTTATTTTTTTTCATGTGAAAAATTTCTACCATAAAGCATACTCCGATTATCAAGTATAGCACCTTTTCTGAAAGGAAATTTTCTCTGAGTGGTATTTTAAAGAGGTTATTTATTGAAATTCTCATTAATATTTGAGATAATGTGGAAAGCCTCTGTCTTTAAGTTAAAGAAGATTGAAAGATTAAAATAAGGTTACCATTGGCAAATTGTTTTTTGTTATTATTAAGTTTTTATTATTTTAATCTTTTTTAAACAATCATTGCTGTCATAGAAACGCACATTGTTTTAATCATTTTACCATATGACATAATATCATATAATGTATTGTTGACAAAGCAACATTATCAACTGAACTCTGCTCAGAATCATTTTTTCGTTAGCAATGGTTTATCGTTGCTTACAGATATATATTAAATTCCCATCTGTAGCCTGCCTTCCTCACTTCCTACCTACAACAGTGGCTGCACCCATGTACGTAGTAGGCCCGTCCTTTTTATATTTGTTATTTTATGGAGTATTAGTTAATTTCAAACAACTTTTGTTTTTTCAAATATGTATTGATATTATAATATACAGGGTGCCACACAAGGATTCGACAAATGCAATAACTTTTGTTCAATTAAATATTTTTGATAATTTTTTTTAAAAATAATTAATATGCACCTGTACTACAGTTTGTACACAAACATTTTTTTTTAAAGGAGGAGGACTTAAAATAAAAAATTTAAAATTTCATTATAATTTTTTTAAATAAATTCAAAATAGCCATTTGGTAAAATAAATGTTTAGAACGTTTTTGGTAATTGAAACTTTTGTTAAAGTATGGTCTTTTATTTTATACAATTTTTTTGAAGTTTTTGCAAATGTGAATATTACAATATTAAATCAGTTATTAGCCAGGACACGTGACAGGGATTTTCTTTTGCATGAGTTAATATTATCATATTATAGGTATTAGGTAATATCAATCAATTAATAATGGTATTTTATGTTGGTAAACAATATTGTTATGATTTAAAAGAAAATTATTTAAATTTTCAAAACTTAAAAAATAGAAGACCATACTTTAATAAAAGTTTCAACTACCAAAAACTTTCTAAAAATCTATTTTACCAAATGGCTATTTTGAATTTATTTAAAAAAAATTATAATGAAATTTTAAATTTTTTATTTTAAGTCCCTTTCCCTCTATAAAAAAAAATGTTCATCTAAAAACTGTAGTGTGAAGGCATACTAATTATTTACAATTATATATATCAAAAATATTAAATGGAATAAAAGTTATTGTATTTGTTGAATCCTGGGGGGACACTGTATACAAAAGATAAAATAGCCAATTCCTGTGTAATTACCAATATAATATGATACACTGTAAATGTAATTTATTTTGTTAATTTCATATATTTTTAGGAAAAAACTGATAAGCTTGGCAAATTGCCATCGCCAGTTAGTAGAACAAGAAGATCAATTACACCAAGTACACCATCTAATTCACAAACAAAAAAATCTCCTGTTAATGCTAGACCCACTAGAACATGTACTCTAGTTGATCGGTCTTTAACAACCATTGGTAATAATTTATTATACTTTATTAAACAAATTAATTATTCATTTTACTTTTGAATTATTATTTTATTAGATAATTCAGATTCAGAAAGTGAATATTTGAGTAATATGGTAATAACTAAACAATATAATAAGAGAAGCCAAGCACCAAAACCCATTAAAACTGAAAATGAAGTACATGTGAAAACAGAGTCTTTAGAATCTGCTGATAATCAGAAAAAGACATCACATCCAAAAACTTATCCAAGTAAAGAAGTACTTATGCAACGAAATGTGCCAAAAAGTTCAAAATCATGTGTTTTTAAAGTTCAGAGTATTAAAAATGAAATATCCATTCATTGTGAACAAGTGACTCTTAATTCACCAATAGATTCGATAATGCCATCATCTTCTAATAGTACAAAATCTAATTTAGACTTTGAAAATGTTGAAATTAAACGCGAAAACTGTAGTAATCTTCAAAATGAATCAAAAATAGCTTCGACTCATTTGTCACCCAAAGAAAATTCTGAAACTAATAATCAGTCAGTATCAGAAATCCCAAAAACATTTACATGTCAATGTCCATATGTCAGAAAAATTGATACTACAGGTGTTATACGTGATCAGTGGTCTTCTGAAGATGAAGATGAAATGGATTATCATATTCATTCAAAAGAATGTGAACAAAATTTGTTGAATGAAAATCCTAATTTTAAAATATCAGGCACTGATTTTGACCTTAATAAAATAAGATTAGAAATGAGAGGTCTTATGCCAGCCTCATTAAATAGTCATTCAGATATAATTCATAGTTCTACACCATTCAATTTAAATTGTATTCAACAAATTAAAACCGAAATCCCAAAATCATTACCAACAGAAGATGTTTATGAATTTAAAGAACCTGAGCTGTGTGATATTCAAAACACCACTACTGTAGTTGAGGAAAAAAATCATAGATTTATAGAAAATATTGATCAACCAAAATTATATAATTTTGAGAAACCTGTTGAACTTCCAAAAGCTATTGAATCTTTTCCACAATTAGACTTAATTGTGGAAAATGAATCCGTAATACCATTTGAATCTAATAGCAATAGTGCAAATTCATTTGATAACAATGTTGAAATAGATACAAAAATGATTGTTACAAATGAAATAGAAGTTTCTATTTCTCAGAGTCAATCAGAACATGGTTTTTGTGAGTCTGAAAATATGGTTATTATGGATTCTACATACAAAACTGAAATATTGGAAAATTCTATTGATGAATCTTGTCATATTGAACTCAGTGAGTCAGAAATAAAAGATGAGGTGTTAGATTTTAGCATGAAGCCACCTGAAACCCCACCTAGCACTATTTTCCATATGCCAGAAACAAATGATTGCGTTATTGTTGAAGAAGAAGATTATGATGATGATGATGAAACCAAATTAATAATTGCTGAAACTGATAAAATTGATAGTGAATCAGTTGTTTTTGAAAGTCATCATTTTTTAAATGAGCAAGCTGAAAATAGTCAAATGCTGTCATTACAATCACAAGGTATTCATCAATTGTCTGATATGAAATCTGAGTATATCATTTCACATGATTTAAAAACAGAAACTACATTACCAAAAGACACAGACGATGAAAGTACTGTTTCCTGTAACGAAAGCATACAAAATGCTTTAATTCAAAGTTTTCAAATGTATTCACATTTTGAAAATCAACCTTATATGGATAATGATGATAGTACTAAATCTGGATATGAATTTGAATTGAGTTCAAAATCACCAACCACAGAAAATGTTGAAGCTGTAGTTAATGAATTTATTAACAATACTGATAATCTTAATGAATATGATTTAAAAGACTTACAAATAAATGAAATAAATGATAAATCTGAAAGAGAATATAACAACATTCATCCAGAATTACAATGCAGAGAAGAAATAGTGGATGATGAATCTTTCAATAATGCTTTAGTTATTGAGTATTGTCAAAAATCTGCAGAATATGATATTCATAAGTCTAATGATAGTAAAGATTTTTTTGACTCTATTCAACAACCAGTTTCTAACGATGGTTTGTATGAAACTGATAATTATATTGATATTAAAACTAGTTTCTTTGATGAAAGACAAACTGATATAGTTAAAAGTGTTATTTTTGATAATGCACCTATCAGGAGCGATATATATGATGGTAACATTCCTACTAGCAGCAGTTATGGCCATGTTCTAAGTACTAATGAAAACAGTATTTATGACAACCCCATACCAGGTTCTAGTAAAAGCTGTTTCAGTCCAGAGGCTGATGTTAATAATGTACTATTCTGTGAAGAAACTATTCCTGGTAGTCCAACTGGATTAACAGAAGAACAATTTGAAGCACAAAGAAAAATACTCATGACACAAGATGAAGAAAGAGAAGCTGCCACAACTATGTATTCTATGAATCAATCATACCACAGATCATTGTTAGCTGCAGCTAATACAAATAATCAAGCAGACCAATATATAAATGTTATCCCAAAGTAATTTTATTAATTTATTTTATAGTTAATTTATAAGTCTCATTATTACTATTCAGTATGTCCCAATTGATAATTATCTCATATTTGTTATGATAAACCATTGCAGTTTGTTTTTCATTACATTAAAAATGGGACATTCTGTAATATGATGAATAAAATTAATAACATTTCAATATTTACAGAGAAGAGGTAATTGATCAAACACATTTAGAATTCTTAGCTGAGGTTTCTAGTAGAAATCCTAGTATAGAAATAAAAACCGAAAATCTAGTAACAGAATCTGAAACAATTATCCGGGGTAAATATTAAATTTATTAATTATTTTTAATAATGTTTTAATGAAATAGTATAATTTTTTACAGAGATAAAGACTGAAGAAAAATATCATACAAGGCGTAAAAACAGTAATTATGAATACCCAACTTCATCAAAACGCAATAAAACTGCACATGTAGTCTCAAGTATAGGTTTGTTATTGTAAAAATAATTAAATAATTGAAACATTTATCTTTATTTACGTTTTAAATAACTACTTATGTTAATTTACTTACAGATCTTTTCCCAAAACTTTCTGAAACGAAAATACCTATGAAAGATGGAAAACCATTAATTGCATTTAGTAAATATTCAATATTTATATCTCTTTTTTATAGTTTTCAATCTTTTGATTGGTCAAGGGCAGCCGGCTTTGCTTCTCTATCATAACTCAGCTTTTCTAGCTCCCAATAACTTATCACTAACCATGTTACATATTCCATGCTTGGACTTTTTTTACCAGTTTTATCATCCACTTAGTCTTCAATAAACTATCATGGCTCAATTTATTATCTAACATATTACTTATGGTATTTAACTTAATATAATATAGAATAATACACAATGTGTTTGTTATGTTAAACTTTGAAATGAATCATAAATACATTTGAATTGAAGATGGAAATTTTTTTCTGTTCAATATATTTTTGTTTTTTTTTTTATTTTGAAAGAACTATCTAGGATAATAGGTTAATACCTTGCACAATGATTTTAAAACTAAAAATCACAAATTTAAATCTGTTTATAGGAAAAATGAATTTTATGATTTTTAGAGTAAACAAAAATAAGAATTCAAATTTGTGCAACTTCAATATTGTTTCAAAACAAATTTATAAAATGGCTCTTTTTAATTTTATTGTATATTTGAGATTTTTTGACACTTAGTTTATTATATATTAGCAATTTTTGTTTAAAAAAATATATTGACATAAAGTGTTAATAAGTTTTATTTAAGCAATTACTTAGTTTCGGCTTATGTCATCATCAGGTTGCTTGTTATACAGTCGTTTACATAAACAATTTATATTGTTCCTTTTTAAATTGTTTATTGTGGGTCGGCCACCTTCCTCTTAAACTTCCACTTGAATTGTTCCCCCATAACATCCTCACATATGCCATTCTCATTTAATTCTCATAACTACCTAACCACCTCTTTTTTAGCCCCCCTCTTTCCTTTTTTATCAGTTATCATTAAAATTCTTACTGCTTCTGATTCGACTTTTCTCAAGACATGTCCAAACTATCTCGGTCTTATTTTCTCTTATTTTGCCCACTTTTAAAGCCATACCAAAGCTACCTCTTATGTATTCATTTTTTATCCAATTTTCTCTCATCACTCCACTCATACACCTAAGCATTCCCATCTTTGCTACACTCATTCTTGTTCTATTTTTTTTGTTAACCACAGAACACTCTAACCCATACAACATAGCCAGTCTTACCATACTTTTTTATAACTTACCTTAAGCTGCATTCTCATTTAAAACACCTGTTACTTTTCTTTATATAATTTAATCACACTTAATCCTATGTTTGACATCCTTTTCAAAGATACTGTTTTTTTAAACAAAAAACTTAGGTATTTAAAATTCAATCTTGTCACTTATTGTCATTAGCTGTCTTGTTCTGTTCCTCCAAATTCATACTATATATACTCTGTTCTATTTCTACTTATCATTAGTCTCTTTCCTTCAAGTGTTACTCACTATAATTTTTCCAGATTTTCTCCTATTAAAACTACCTATTTTTCATCTACAAACATCATGGTGTATGCACCATGGTACAAATTATTACAAGGAAAATACTATATATGTAACCAAAGATTATTTCATATTTCAGATCTCCATAAGACCTAGTATTTATTACCATTTTTGGAATTAATATTTGATATAATTTATAATTTTAGCGGCATGCATGAATAGTCAACAACGGCAAACTTTAATTTTAGCCAAAATCAGTGATCTACGCAAGGAATATGGTTCTATTAAATCTCGTTTATCTGTAATAGATCGAAGAAGAAAAAGAATTAAAAAACGAAGAAGAGAATTATTAAAGCTTGGTATTATGAACTAAAATAAACCTTTGGCATCTAATATAGTTAAAAAAAAAGTAACTTAATTGATTTAAATGGCAGTCATCTGGTTAATATATTATGATTTAACCCATTATAGTCTTCATTTTTGAGGCAATAGTTTTTATAGTAATATATATTATATTTAAAAATTAAGTTTTTTTTATTAATAATTATAAAATTATAATTAAGTCATAGTTGATATACAAGTTGTTAAAACAAAGTCAGGAACTTCTTGTAATTTATTTCATTTTATTTGTTTGTGAGTTATTGAAATATTTCTTAATGTTTAATTTATAATCAATTTTCTGAAATAATTTATATATTTAAAATATAAAACTTATAATTTCTTCTTGTGTTTGTGGTTTTAGTGTTTTAATTTTAAATAATTATATGTATTCAATAATTTACCAAATTATTTAGTTTTTTTTAGTATTCATTTTTTAATCCAACTTTTGATTTGAACTTTTATAAATTGAATATTTTCAAATCCTATACATTTAATTAATATTACATCTTTCCAAATTGATTTGACTTAGGAGTTTAAAAATAATAATCGATTATAATATTGAACTATGTACTTTTAATAAATATACACTATTAATTATTGATAAGAAAAGCATTCTACTTTTTAAATGTTTTTAGCATTAAATCTTTTGCAACGGGATAATTTAATCAAATGTGTGAATAATTATTAATCTCTATTATACTTGGATGAAGATTCTTTTGTGATTTATTATATTTCATTTCTTATTATATTAATGATTGTGTCTATTTATTTTTATTTTATTTAACAATAATTAAATGTCAATGGTTTTACTAGTATTTGTATACATATATTATTCTTAAGAAATAAATTAATGATTTATAATCATATATTTTGGAAGAACATATTACAATTATTTATTAGCATTATATTCATATATATACATTATTGTTTAATGTGTAATCTTACATTTATTCTTAATATTATTATATGTTTGTGGTTTAATTTACTTAATTATGTAGCTTTATGAAATAAGTACTCATATTTTGAAATACAAATTATTTATACTTATATTTAAATACACTTATTATTTCTAATACTTTTATTACATTTAATGTGCTGTTCCTGGCTGAAGGCATTCCTTATGTCATACCTATACTGAGTAAAATTTAATGATTTCTCCCTTTCTCCTTTTTTTTTTTTTAACTTTATTTCAGTTTTGTCTTCTTTCAACGACCCCATTGTAATTATACCTAATTGTAGTTGTGTAATATGTGTAATTTTTAATAATTTTCTAGTCAATTTTTTTTAGCAAAAAGTATCCTATAATAAAATCCACTATTTCAATATAATTTATAATTATACAATAATCTTGGATTTTGCCAAATTTCTTAGAAAACACCCTTTTTTGCATAGCTTTGCCCATGTAAGTATTGAAGGAACAAAATTAAAAACGTGTTTTTCTATTACTCCTGTTTCATCCTGTCCCTGTCCCTGTAATTGACTGTTATCACCCATAGATTTTTAAAAATTACTTTTTTAATTTTCTTTCTGTCCTTCAAGAGTTTAATTTAAAAATCATTTCTTTGTAGTCTGCTCCTAGACTCCTACCTCCCCCTTTTTGGTTTTATGTTAAAAACCTTTCACAAGACAATAAATATGTTGGCAAAATGTGATACCAATTTGTTTAGAAATTTTTTAATTTATACTCAAGAACATTAATTTTTGCCTGACTGCAGGAGAGTATTAACAAATACATGTATGCATATTCACAATTTTTATCAAAAATTTTGGCGCAACAATTTCATTATTTTAAAATTGTAGAACATGTGCTTTTTATTATAAATATTACTCTAATAAAAAAAACATCAAGAGATCTTGTTTGTTGAATTTTTAATCTAGTTGGTGAATGTGGATATTATTAAAATTAAGAATATTTTTTTTTTTTTGATTTTCTTTATAGTTTATTTAATAATTGAACAAATACGAAAAAAAAACGTAGAAATAACACGAAATTTTACGAAAACAATGCTTTTATTATTTTAAATTTTGTTGTTTAATGTAATTTAGTTTAATATATTCATAAATACTTGACAATAGGTTATTTAAAACCTAATCTAACCTACCGCCCACGTTAAACATCACTGATATATTAAAAGTTAAGGTGGAAGGGAACCCTCTCTGGGTGCCTATGGATGTGGGTAGGTATACAGAATTATAAGTTGGGCATCATGATTTTAAAATGTTCACCACGCCACTGAGTAGCTGCTAACTGCAAACAAAACCTAAACTAAAATACGTTATAGTAAAACTGATTAGTTTATCAGATCTATTTATCAGTATTCTCAGAATTTACAAATATCTTTATATATCAATATTATTATCACGTAGTATCACATTTCGTCATAAAATTATTTCATCAATATTATAGTTATCATCATGACGTCCGATTAAAAAAATAAAAATCTACCGCAGTCGTTCGACAACAATTTTGAAATTTACGTCCGCCCGTCCGTAGGTAGACATTTAATTTAATAGGTAATGGTTTGTAAATCGTGAAAACGCGATATGTATATATGCGATATAATAATTAATACTATACACAAATCAAACGGTTTGAAACTGATCCACCAACACGAACGGAAAAAGACAAAAAAAATAATCGGTTTTTGGCCTTTAATATCAAGAAATAAACTGTATACATCCAACTGCGTGCCGTCTTTTATTATATTATAAATGGCTATATTACCCGGCTTCGCCCATGAACAGCTTTGTAACGCAAAATATTTTTAATATTATTTTATATTTCACTTGTATTTGTTTTCATTCGCGTAACCAACCTTTAAATTTGTTTTTATTTCATCCGTGTTACTATGGTAATCCATAACGATAAATAAATAATACTTTTATGTGCGTATTTGCGATTATTTTAAAAACTAATAGCTTAATGATATTATTATTGAACGAATGATGAATTATTATTATTAATAAATTCACTTAAATGCAATATTTTTTAAAACCCTTTTTTATTGCACATTTAGAGTTTTAGAGGAACCACTATTCCAAGTTTGAAGTTCGTAATGTATGTAGTTTTTGAGGAATAGCAATCAGTGAGTGAGTGGTATTTGGCTTATATATATATATATATATATATATATATATAAATTGTATACTTATATTATTCTCTCGTCCCGTCGCCACAAATGTCAGATTTTAAGATTCAGGATAGTTAAAGGTTTTCGAGAAGATTCGGAAGTTTCTATAATAACGGCGTCGGGTTCGGATGGTAGCGGTGGTGGAGGGAGGGAAAATTGATTTCCTGCACACGCTCCCTATTACAGAGCTGGCGTGACGGGCATTATTGATCGAAAACGTGCCCGGGACCCGGCCAAATTTAAACACACGGGGGCGCGCAGCGCGCGTTTGCGAATTATTATTGTATCATGCGCGGTCTACGTCATTCGGGTCCGGTCGATAATAATAATAGGCGGGTCGCGTCGTCCGGCTGACACCGAAACGGCGAATGGTCGTAAACCAATCCGGTGATGAATACCGGGCCGAGAACACTCCGCGCACGAATCTGTAAAATCTTTTGACACGCCTAATTTACACCGAGCCCCCCAGACCGACTCGTACAACATAACTCCCTTAAACTTGTACCCCAGTCGAATTGTATTTCAGAAAAGTGCTATTTTTGAAAATCGGAGTAAAATTGCTGGTAGAAAATTTGTTCACGGGGAAAAAACCCCCGTATTATTTTACTAAAACATTTCGTATATTTTTACATGACGTTTGCCCACCTTGCTCACCCGATATTTACGCCACTGCTTATATTATTGCGGTTGACAAATATTCGTCATCTGTCCGTAAACGGGGGTTCGATAAACGAGGGTTAATACTCCTCCCATCGCCTTTTATTATTATTATCTTAAGTATCGTACACATTTTAATACAGTATTAAATTTTTAAATTCGAAACGAAAATAACATGTTTTTCAATTAAACCGTCTTCACGGTCATGCGTTATTGTAGCATTGTAGTATGTATGTAATAAACTGAGCTGTTAGTTTTTATTGGAAAAAATAAAAATAAAAAATGAGAACTGTCAAAGTGTCCGAGGAGGAATTAAAAAAAACGATGAGAGTTAGTCTTTTGAGGGAAGGAACTACCGCCCTCCCTATTCTTAATTGTAGGTATATAGTGTGTCCCACCGTGTTTGACGGATTTTTCTAGCGCTGTTAAAATTACATTTTTTTCAATTTTTATTTTTCAGTAGGTTTGTCTTTGAGGGAGTCATAGATTTAGAGGAAAATTAAATTTTTATTTTAATCCCCTAAACATAAAATAAAAATTACTTTTTATTTATCCACTTTAGAAAATTTTCAAAATTGTATAAAGCATATTCTAAAAATTGTAATCTATAAAATATTTATATTCGATTTATTGTTTTTTAATTATAGCCGTTTCAATTTCTAGAAAATAGGCGTAAAAACAATTAATGTTCAATAGACGGTAAAGAATTACTATGCTGATTGTAATTCCTTCAAAGTCCACCTCGAAGACATACCGATTGAAAAATAAAACCTAAAAAAATTTAATATTAACAGCTCTGGAAAAATCCGTCGAACACGGTGAGACACACTGTTTACGCCGGCTGTATATATAGTACACATCTTTTTTGTCGATCAATACTTTCCATCTCGGTCGTCTCCAATCACCCGTTCGCCCACCCGAGCTTTTTCGGGTTTCACCGATTCCGTCCGGTACGAACGACGATAGATCGTGTAAACCAATTACGTATTTACGGAAAGTGAATTGGGAAGAAACGATCTTGGCCATTGTTTTTTAGTATCTTTTATTTATTTAGCTAGACGCCTAATTTTCAATGCGAATTTCTTTATTTTTTTATTTAGAAAAATCAACGACAACTGTATTATGAAGTATTAGCAATAAATTTACTTGAATACAGTAAATAAAGTAAAGAATTATACTTACACCCAGTAATGTGGTTTCAATGATAATTTTAGGGTGGATTTAGTTTTTTTTAATTATAAACTATACTTATGAAAATATAAAAATTAAAAACTGATAGTTTTATTTTAGCCAGAGTACGCGTTACACTTTTTGATACGATTTCTAAATTCAATATCTTACCCCACGGCAAAATTTTAAACTGTTGTATACGTTCAAATAGTAATTTCGAAATAAATATTTCTGATATATCGGTACGGTGTGACAAAGCGAAAAAAAATCGTCGTCGTACTTATCAATTATAATATTGCAGACAAACTCGATAATGGTTTTTTAATATTTACGCACAAATAACTAAGTAATTAAAATAATCTTAAAAATAATCAAAATACCCATATCGTAACTACAGCGTATATTTTCATTCGACTGTGGAGGGTTATTGCAGTTTAATATGTTAGTAAAAAAAAAAATTGTGATATTAGGCGAAGTTTCCGGTGTAGGTATTTGCCCCCTACACAATACATATCAGATTGTTCTGTTTTTAAAATTGGCGTTAAATAATATAGAGAAAAATGATAATAAAAATTGACAACTGCCTATTAGACAAAATCTTTGCGTGCAAATAAACATCAACCAAATAAATATTTTGTGTTTTTAAATTACCTATATTATATTTTTTCAATCAATGTTTTTTTTTTTTCTGTAAACACTGATAACATTGTTAACATACAAAAATTATGCTTTTTAAAAAATTATTTAATTACCAGTGTTTATTATTAACTTAAAATAATAAATATATATATATTTTTTTGTATTATTATTAAAATGTAGGAACGTATTCATTTACAACGGGTCTTTTTCCCCCCCTCAATTCCTAATATATAATAATAATATAACATAATAACATGGAATAATATTATATGACTATGATAAAGATAGTTGGATGAAGGTTGAAGTATAATAATTAATATATTTGCGATTGAAAGAGAAAGAGTCGCTACCTGGTGGGATTTATTAGAACTACTGTAACGAGGAAGATGTATTATGTTTGATTACATTATAATAAGACATTGAGTACTGAGTACTGACTTCTGAATTTCTTTGTAATAATCATAAATATAGATTTATTTATCAATATTATGATTAATCATAATTATTATTCTAGCTAAATGATAATACAAAATGCATACATTAAATACAAACTTGTATTGAACTTACATAATACCTAAATAATATACAATAGGTATAGGTAGTGTTTAAAATATACCTACCTACTTCGTGAAGTTTACCGTGAAGGTCATTGGTTTGCAAACATAGTCTTAAAATCTTAATAAATATAATATCATTTGAGATTCTAAGTGAAGCGAAGAGCTTATGGCTTATGTTCATTTGTTTTATCTGTGCGCAACTTTTTTATCAGAAATATTGCTCTGAATTTTATGTGTGGCACCTTTTCTGAAAAGAAATCGGTGTGGGGAGGTACTTTAGAGAAGTTATTTTTTGATTATCTCAACAGTTTTCTCATCAAACGTAAAAAACCGAAAAAATACAGAGGAAGAACGGGAAAACGTACGAAATATATTACTAAAACATTACGATTTTTTTTTTGTGCACAACTTTTCTACCAGCAATTTTACTCCGATTTACAATGATTTACTATAAACTTTTTCTAAAAAGAAATTTGACTTAGGAGGTACTTTGAAGAAGTTATTTTTCGATTTTCCTAGCAAATGTGAAAAACAGGGAAAATCGGTACAACATTAAACAAATATTATTAATGAAAATATATAAAGCCTATTTAATTATTTTACTTTATAATATGATATATTATTGACAAAGCATGACTACAATCTGAATTCTGCTTAGAATCCTTTTTTTGTCAGCAATGGTTTATCGTTACTTACACTACTTATAGGTATACATTAAAGTACCTATAACAATGGCTGCACTCGTCCCTATTATCCTAGAACGACTTTTACCTCTTAAACCTATTTAAATAATATGGTTACATTTAACTATTTCTAAATCTTCGACAAAAGGTCTTTTAAAATCACCAATATATTAAATTATGTCTGTGGTTTCTATTACAGAAATAATTATTAGGTATGTACTTTTATTACTACAAATTGTAAACAAAATAAGTTTTAATAAGGAAATTTTTAAAAAACTAGTCGTAAATGGATTATTTTGGCTAAATTACTATTATTCTAATGCCATTAAAGCGCTCATCTCCCCGTTAGCCTTATCATTAGTGTCCACTACCTATAGTTACTTTCAATTGCGAATTATATAAGGTGGATTGATATTATAATATTTTGTAGATACCCGTTTATACATAATCAAGTTGGTCGAAATATGATAAATTATTGTTATCTTATCTATACATTTCTACATTTCTTTTTCATAGACATAGACAATTGAACAATTCTGTTATTTATTATTGTTTATAATATAAAATTATTGTTTTGTTACTAGTTAAAATAATTACTGATTAATTGAATAATTTATTTAAATAATTTAAGCTATTTATTATTAGTAGTCTGCGTTTTTCACGAACAATTTAAAATCAAAAAATAACTTGTTAACATATGGTGAATGTACAAAATATTTTAGTATAACTTGCTTCCTTATGGAAAACCAAGAAAGGTAATATATATTTTATATTATAAAATTAGATTTCAACAAAAACAATATCGTTTTTAAATTATTTCTTATTATATAGATACCTATTTTCTTGATTAATGTAGCAGACCTGATTAGTCTTAACAATACATAGATATTGTTATGTATTTTCAAATTATTTCAACAAAATTTTTATAACAAGGTAGTTTTAATTTACTTTACTAAGTATTTAAATAATATATTTTAAAATATGAAGTAATTTGAAGATACTTTGTGTAACTTACTCAAGATTCGTCAGCTGGTTGGGCTCAGCTAGAGCTCTTACACATTAGCGATCATCCAGCCCATTTCTCAGGCTCAGCTTATTTTTAATAATTTATGTCTCCTCATAGGAAGATAAAGAAGTGCTATATTTAAACATAATTTTATTATAAAATACAGATATAAGAATAAATTAGTACCACCCTATAAAATATTTAAAAAAATATGTGTTTTTTTGAAAGTCCATCTTGATGCTTGTTTCCTGTTTTCTACTTTAGTAAAAGATATGTGCGTCTTGATATATTTAAGTATTAATTATGAGTAATGGGCTTTATCAAAATATTCAACAGTTGATCACATTCAAACATTTGAATAGTTTACCTATCATATAGTTTCTATAGAACGAATATTTTTTATTTGAATATTCTCAAATAGTTTATATAATATTCAAACAAATATTATTGTGTATAATGTGTATGGTGCACTACAAGTAGTATTTTGTAGAAATACTTGCAAATCCTGTTTAATTGAAAGTAGGTAGTGGAAGATTTATTGTGTTCTACTTAATACCTACTTAGTAATGTTTATTCAAATTGTTTTTTGGAAATACAATTATTTTAATACTTTGGAGAAAAAACACCGAAATAAATACTATTGAAAAAGTTTTTTCCATAGTTATTATGGTCTTGGACTGCTGTTTGGATTGGAACCAAGAAACTCTGTAAAAATAGTATATTTAATTTAAAACTATAATAATTTGTGGCATAATTTTATTGAATAAAAATTTTTGGAGACGTATTCATTTTATTATAAGATATATTTTGAAAATTCAAGTCCAGAAATGGATTTTAGATTTTAAAATCCAATGATTTGACATCCTGCCAAATTTTTTATTTTGTAGTGATAATTCAGAATTTCAAAAAGGTTTTTTTTTAATTTCCCAATTTTATATCCAATTTTAACAATTGTATTAAAATTTAAATTATAATTAATAATCTCTTTAGGTAGGTACTTATTATTATTATTTAGTTATACTGCATTTATAAAGTACCAGGTATTTAACTAGTATCAGTTAAGCAAAAAGATCTTAAATGATTTTACTTTTTAGAAAGGTTTTAAATATTATTTTATTTTTACTAAAAATAGTATTGTTTTTTTTAATAGATTATTTTTTTAACTATACAATTTCTAAACTAATTTTTTAACTTTTTTTATTTAGATTTTCATTACTGCTTTTAGAATCAGGAGAGTATTATTTTGAAGATTATATTGCATTATTAGCAACTACTAAAAATAACACATGGCTTAGTGGACAACTTAAAGTGTGTTCATTGTCATTAATTTTTGATCCTAAAGATTATCATAAACCAATGCTTAAGATATTATTTACACAATGTGGATCCATTACTCAAAGGTTTAGTTTGTATATTTAGTAAAAGAAATTATATTAGTGTTTTTTAAAATTAATGTATTAATTAGAATACCTTATTCTAAAACTCATAGTTACCTATAGAAAAAAAATGTATCATATTAATCCAAAATATTTAAATACGTTCCAGCATTCAAAAAAACTCCAAATATTAGTACAATAGTTTTATAAAAATTATAATTAATATGAATTTTAAATAGATATAAAAGTAAAGCTTAGATATTGATTTATATTAAATATCACCCACATTGTTAGAAATTAATATTAAGTTATTAATTATTATTAATTGTATTTATTTTAAAAATATAGTTCAAATAAAGATGATAACACGTTAAGTATAATTTGCAAACAATACATTGAAATGTTAGAGCAAAATGTTTTAGAACCTTACAAATTTATTAACGTAAGTAAATACTACAAAATTTCAAAATATTTTTTTTGTTTAAATTAATTTATATGCATTCACTCTGGTTATAAAATAATAATATCTATAGTAATGTGGTTAAATATCATATTTTAAAGTAATAGTCCAATAATTAATTGTAATCTTAATATTGACTACCAGATAATTTTAAGTAGCTTATTAAAAAAATTAATCTTTATTTTAAAAACTGGTGCTATCATAATACTTTAATGATATCTGATTGTTTAAAAAAGAGCCACTTATATATTAAATTATAGGGAAAAAAATGAAATATATAGTAACTAATAAAATAATAAAGTAAAAACAAAATTATTAAATGGTTAATATTACTAAATAAATAATTTATAGGTAGAAATAAATAAATATATAAATGAATGGACATCATAGTCTGGAGTATTATGAAATATATATATTGTACTACTGGTTTAAAATTAAAAATTCATCATCAGGTAAATCATAAAATTAAAAAGTAAAAAAGAGATTCCATTTATTTATTTATTTCTGCATATAAATTTTTGATATATATAATAATAATATTAGAAAGTAGAAATTAGTAGAGTAGAATATTCAATTAAGTTGATTAATATATTATTTATTTTAGGAAATATCATTATTTAGAATTAATTTAAAATATGCTAAAGTAGATCATTGTATACCATTTATACTACAACTACACCGAGCATCTTCTTTAAAAACAGCAGAACACAGACATATGGTAATAATACTATTTTTAATATAATATTTTACCATCGATGATATAATATTCTACATATTTATAAATATTTTTAGGCTGCATCAATTGCATATGGAAGACAGAAACTTATAACATTTGACCATACATGGTTAGAAGTTGGTGAAAATGTATTATTAGAAGTTATTTGTCAAAAAATAACACCTCTTAGTTTAAATCCTGGAAGAATAATAATGACTAATTTACATGTATATTTCCAGCCTTTTAATAACATTGAAAAAGTATATATTTATTTTTCACCAATATCTTTTTAACTATAATTTTTGTTTTTTAAATATTATTAAAAAATTAATTAATTTATCAAGCAATAAAATAATAAATCATAAATAATTTTGTTTGTTTTATTTTAGACTTTATATATTAAAATAAAGTTATCAGAGATAAAACAAATTATTAAAAGAAGATTCCTTTTACAACAAGTTGTAAGTTATAACAATTTTAAATTATAAATAATAACTTATATGCTTGTAATTTATTTGATTTTTTCTTCTTATAATAGCACACACATAAAATAACATTATTTTATTACTATGCTATCTAAAATATTTAAGATATTCTTTTTAAAAATCTAACGAAAAGATTCCAAAAACTACCTTTATTTATATCTTATTCAAAAATAAATTTACAATATATATTTAAATTTAAATTTTTTTATTTCAGGGATTAGAATTTGAATATGAAATTAATTCACAATTATATCTAACATTTAAAAATACTGAAATACGAGACAGTCTTTATAATAATCTTATTAATCAATCAAATATAAAAATTGATAAACGTGAAAAATCCATTATGACATTAAAATGGCAAAATGGTACTATATCTAATTATGATTATTTACTATATTTAAACAGGTAAATTCAATTAAAAAAAAAAGATTTTATATTTATTGAAATTATTTTAAACTATTAAATATGCATTTTATTATTATAAGAACCTTTAATATTTATATTTTTATACGAATTCATTGGATATGGGCATTTTTAATTTGTATAATACCTGTGTTGTGTATATTAGTTTTAATGTTTATTTTAAATTGTGTAAATAATTAATATTGTTATATTAATTATATAATTTGTATGGCTTAATTGGCTTTATGTACAACTGCAAAATATAATGGTAAATTAATATATAATTTATATTGAGATAAATGTACCTTATCAATATTATGTGTATGCTATTTTAGTTTGGCTGGCAGAACAGTAAATGATTTGACACAGTATCCTGTTTTTCCATGGGTTATAGCAGATTATTTATCTAATACATTAGATTTGGAAAATCCTAAAACATTCCGTGATCTTACTAAACCAATTGGTGCTTTAAATCCAGAAAGACTATTTAAACTTCAGGTTTTAATTTTTTAATATTATATATTCTATTTTAGTGTATTTTAGTGTAAAATAATTAATGCCTATATTTTAGGAAAGATATAATGAAATGAATTCACCAAAATTCTTATATGGTTCACATTATTCAACTCCTGGCTTTGTATTATATTATTTAGTACGGAAATACCCACAATATATGTTGTGTTTAAATAATGGAAAATTTGATCACCCTGATAGAATGTTTAACAGGTATAAACTATTATTTAGAAATTGCGTAAATTAATTTTTGTAAAATACTATATAATGTTTTAATACTTCAAAAAAACCATTGGTTATGGTCTAACTTTTTAATGTGTTCTGTTTTATATTTTAATCAAAAACTCTTACAAAGAATGATTTGTAGTTACAATAGTATTTAGAATCAATAATATATGCAGTATACACATTAAGTCCATTAATAAAGTTATGTATATAATAGGAGGGTTATAGCCATAGTGGTGTAAGTCAAGTTTTCATCAAAATCGATTTAAGTTCTTTACAAAATTATTAAAGGCTAATTGTTTGATATGCTATAACTATATGGCAGTACAATTCTCGCATCAAACCAAACCAGTTGTTTTGTTAACTTAAAAGTGACTTTAAACTTTAAAACTAATGTGACTTACACCACTATGGCTTAAATCCCCATTATTATAAAAAAAACTATAACATATTAACTTAATTATATTAGTTATAATACTATATTATATTCGTTTATGATGTTCATTTGTATGAAAATGTATTGTCTAAATAAAGAAATTTTGTTTGTAGTTTAGCAGATACTTGGAGAAATGTACTAAACAACATGTCAGATTTTAAAGAGTTAATTCCAGAATTTTATGACACCAATCAATGCTGTAATTTTCTAATTAATGAATATGGTATTGATTTTGGACACAGACATGATGGTCGGAAAATAGATAATGTAGAACTCCCAAAATGGGCTGATAGTAAAATCTTATTTTTTTTTTTCTTCTCATAATTATGTTTTCACTGTTCAGTTTTAACTAATTTTTATTTTAATCAGGTCCTTCAGATTTAATCTCTAAGTTACGAGAAGCTTTAGAAAGTGATTATGTTTCAAATAATTTGCATCATTGGATAGATCTTATCTTTGGATATAAACAAAATGGTTCAGAAGCCATATCAGCAAAAAATGGTAAAAGCAACACTATACTTCTGTACTAAAATATTTTTTTGTTTTCAACTTTTTTATTTGTTAAAATGTATTTTCATTATTTTATTTAAATCTTTTTCATTGTTTATTATATTTAAATCAATTCTATTATATACCATTTAAATGAGGTATTTTTAACACTGGAGATGAAATATTTATCAATGTTGTTTCAAATGTATCGATGATAATATGATTTTTCTGCAACAAATTTTGGGATAACTTATCATAGGAGTCCTTTTTGTTTTAATTATATAGACTTTCAGATTCCCTTAATTTTTGCCCATGAATAAACTTTATTTGCATATTTTTTTAAATTTGTGTGAAATGTAATAATCTACTTTTTTATCCCATTTTTCTATCATTTTTAGTACTACTGTTAATCTGTTATTAGAGTTTTATACTGTCCTTGTGTGAGCATTCTGTTTTTTTACAAATTCTGTTGCTAACATGGTGTATTTTTAATAAAAAAAAATGAATGAAATTAGACAAGTTTATAGTTATAATATTCAGGCAATTATTGTTTTTTATTTATAACACATTGGGGTTGAAACATAATATTATTATAACTATAATAACTATAATGCATCATTATTATATTCAACCACATAGGTTAATAATAAACTTTTTTCATTCTTCTCTATTGTATGCCATGATAATCTGCAATCTGCACTCCTTGTAATGGTTTTAGCTCCTTTGTGACATAATCCTTTCATCTTGTTCTTAGTCTGCCTAGAGGTTTTTTACCTATAATTTCTTCCACTAATGCTTGTTTAATAATTTGGTCATACATGTCTTAGTCATTCAAGTCTTTTAATTTTCTTATACGAGAGAATATTTAGTTTTCCATAGAGCTTTTGTAGTTCATCATTATGTCTTCTTTTATATTGGTAAATTTCTCTGTTGTATAAAGAATCATAGATTTTTTTCTCTCAGAGAGACTTTGGTAGTTGACCAAGTTTTGAGTTAATGTATAGGGTTTTTTTTTATTTATATGATAGATTTTTTTAAATTTAATAGACTAGTAGTATTTGTTAGTACATCAGTTATATTTCTTTGTAATATTATATTATAATATTTTTTCTATTTATGTTTACTCCAAGAATTGATTAACTTTCTCAAAGGTATTGTTGTCTACTTTTAAATTTGAGTCATCTGTCTGTTTGTAATATATTTATGTACCATACTTGGTTTTTTGTTGATTCACAGCAATTTCTGTGTGGTTTGTATAATAACATTTCTTGAGTTTTCCATAATGAGTATGTCATCTGCATATGCTAGTAATACATCCAATTCAATTACATCTATTTTTCAATCTCTTGTCATATCTCTGATCACTCTTCTCAAGTGGGCTCTACTATTTTTGGTTCAGCAGTATTCAGTATGTTTTTTTTTTCATTTGATATACTATTAGGTTTGTTCAATAAGTTTTAAAAATCTATGTTACTTCCTTTGCTTTTTTTGTTACAAGCTCCTTACCATCCTTTATAAGCATATTGGTCTGTAGTTTAAATACTTGTTCAAATTCTTCAACTTATTTAAAAGAATTTTTTGGAGTTTTTTATATTCTCTTTTATTTCAGTGATTATTTTTTCATATACATTCCTTTTTCTTTTCTAAGGGTAGCATGTGTTTTTTTTCTTCCCTGTTTGTATCTTTTCCTATTTTAATCAAACAGATTTTTTTTATCTTAGTGGAGTTCTTTTTTTTATTGATTCTCAACATTTATTTGTAGATCAGTAACTTTTCTTTGTATTCTCTGTTCAGCCAACTAACTTTGTGACACATTCTTCTATTATTTATGTTATTTTACAATATTGACTTTCAATCCCTTCTTCTCTACAAATATTTTTTTTTTCTGCAAATTTGTTTTGTATCCATTTTTTTATATTATTTATCTACTTTCTTATTACATATTAAATTTGTTTGTTTCAGACTTCTTTCTCCTCCATCTACATGATAATTTTAGTTTAAACTTTAATATAATTCCTTATAATATTTGAATAAAAAATACTTTTATTTATAAATGAATATTTTGCAATTAAAAATTATGTACTGAGTGAAATATTTTCAAGGTTCAATTTAACTGGGTTCAGAATATACAATATTATACCAGATAACACAAATTAATTTAAAAAAAAATTTATAAAACTGGCCCATTGTTTTCAATTATATAATAGATAAACCTATGAATCACCAACATAATAAAAGATTTAAATTCTGATTTTAGATTTTATTTTCTATTGATGATTTTGGTAATCTAGTTGAAGATATTATTAATATTTAACAAAATTGTATGATAAAAAAAAACAATTCCCAATTTAATTGGCAAGCTATTTAGAACTATAATATTAAAAATGTTTAAGGAAAAATACATAGTTGTAGTCTAGATGTTTAAACAATAATGTTTTATACTTAGTGTTCTATTACTTATGTTATGAGGGAGCTTTGAACTTAAATGATATTCAAGACTGGAATCAAAGACATGCTGCAGAGGTGCAAATTATGGAATTTGGACAAATACCAATAATGATTTTTGAAAAACCACATCCATCTAAAACATGTTTACTGGTTAAAGATTTGAATCAATTTGGTAATTGTGTATTTTTATCAAATTGGATTAATTTTCAAGTTTTTATAATTATTTAAAAATGTTTTTTTTGGTTAGGAATGTTACCTAAAATGAAAAGCTATTGGAATTGGAATAATATTAAGTTATCAAAATTATTAACTACAATAATTCATAAAAATGTAGCTTCTAGTGTAAAATTTAGTGAGGACATGGGATCAATATTTTCAATTGGACATGATGCTATGCTCAAAGTAAATTGTTTGTTAACTCAAAAACAAATTAGAAGTGTTACGGTGCAGGGTTTTCCAGTTAAATTGAATGATATAGTTGTACCATCAACTTACCCATCAATAGTACTAATAGGGACTAATCATGGATTTGTGTAAGTTTTTTTGTCCTGTGTTATGGTAGTGAAATAATTGTAAAATATGATTTATTTTATTTTAAATATCAATGATGTTTTAGGATAGTATATGATATAGATTGTTGTCGTATAGTTGATGAGTTTAATGCTCATGAAGATTCAATATCTTGTTTAGCTTGGTCCAAACTTGGTTTTTTAATAACTAGTTCTTTAGATTGTAATGTACGTGTCTGGAAAACCCCAAAAGCCCCTTGGTCACAAATTGAATTAATCACTTCACTTAAAGCTGAGTTGAAACATGAAAATAAAGTTACAAGTTTAGATCTTGACAAGTGAGTGTATTTTAAAAAATTTAAATATAACAATAATGAACAGTTTTTAAACATCAATGTGTCATAGAAATGAAAAATTGTTAGCAACTGGTACTATTAATGGAGAAATATTTATATGGTCTTTTCTCGACTATTCATTTATTAAAAAATTAACAGGTATGAATCAAACATAGTTACCTATATTAGACATAGTAATTCAAAATAATAGGTAAATAAATCATTTTATAGGACATTTTGCCTGTGTAACTAAAATTAGTTTTAGTTATGATGGTTCTAAACTATTGTCCTGTTCTGATGATTGCAGTTTTAAAGTTTTTGATTCTTTAAGTGGATTAGAAGTTTATACAAACACTCTCCAATGTCCATTAAAGTAAATATGTGTTTAAAAATAAACATGTTATTATTTATTTATTTCATTTTACATAATATTATGTTGATTATCAACCATGTATAAGTAAATCTGGATATTTTTTTTTGGCAGGTCTCTAGCATGGGATGGATATCACATATTTATTGGTGGTCAAAATGGAATCTTATACTTATGGGACTTGGAAAAATTTAAACTTATTAATAAAATCAAAGCTCATTCAGGTAAATGTGTTTATTAATACAATAGTTGTTGCTATTAAATTAAAATACATTAAAATATAAAATAAACAAACACAAATAAAACCTAACCTAACTTATCTAATATTATTTTCTTATTGGTTACTTAAGTTTCTTTATAATTATGTTCCCTCATAGAAGCAAAATTAATGGAGCGATTTCCACAAATTAGATGTCTATGAACCTTGTGAATGTTTTAATTTAGTTTTTTTTTTAAAAAAACAAAACAAATTAACAAATAGTGGTCACATTGTGTAATTTTATGCCACCATATTAATTTTTTTCTCTTCACATGATGGATATCCAATTAAAGCGCTGATGCGACTATTTTAGAAATATATAATATCATTGTAGTAAAAAATAAATTATTTTAATAAGAAAAAAAAAAAATTGATTTTGCTATCAAGTGGTCAGTCCTTGTAATGATATAGAGTGGTTCATAGAGAATATAAAATCATCCATCTGTGTAATGGTTGGAAATGAATATAATAAGTATTGAGTAAAAATAGTGAATATTTTTTAAATAATTAAAACAAAAATATTAAATAAAATTAGTTTTGAAAATACTAAAACAAAAATATATTATCGAGATTACTTTATTTAATCATTTTTGTTTAGATTATGTTTTATAATTTATTTAATTATGTACAATGATTTGATTTTTTGGCAGGTGGATTATTATCAGTAGATGTTTCGACTGACGGAAATTTGGTCGCCACAGCTGGTGAAGATTGTTTTATTTATTTGTGGAAAACATCTTGTAATGTTTAAAAGCCTACTGATGTTACTATTTTTCTATGTTTACACAATTCTTACTGTATAAAATTTATTTGGTGCATGTTTTTATAAAAACAATTTTTTTTAAATATATATTTAATTACAAGTTTTACTATTAATTAAGATTTTAATTCATACCAATTTTATAGAGAAATGGCACATAACAGGGGTACTGTGTAGTAATGGGCACTACCGAGTGAAAACTATTGAACTACTCTTCAAACTATGTATTCAATTGTTTCTAAAAACTCAACTATTGATCATCAAAATTATTAAATTAAGGGTACCTTTTCTAATCAATATTGTATTGGCCTAATTCTGTATAATATATTACGATTTTAGGTACTATGTATAAATAATTATCAAGTGAAAAATAAATAAAATTGATAGTTAATTATAAACTTAAAAGAATATTAAGTTTTTAGATTCAGAAGGTAGGGAGGGTTTTATTGGTTTTACTATGTGTGTATTTTTTTTTTGTATTTTACAAACTATGTTTTCTATCAGAAATACTGATTCAATAGAAAAATGACAATAGACCATTTTTATTGAATTTTTAAACTATTTGGTGATTAAGACAGAGTTTTTTTTTGATTTTCCCTGTATTTTTTTTTAATAAAATTGATTAACACCAAAAAAAAAAAAATAATAACAGAAATGAGATGAAAATTTACAAAAAATAATGTTTTTATCATTTTTGATTTTGATTTTTTATTGTAATTCAGTTGAAAATATTTGTAGACATTTAACATTTTAATAGAAAACTTATAATTGCCTTTTTTAGACGTGATAAAATTTTAAAAACATTTTAATTTTGAGTTTTTACATAATTTTTATTTGTTATATACTCCGTGAATAGAAAGAAAATTGTCAAACTAAACCAGTAGTTCCCGAACTATTTTAGACACAGTTTTTTTTTTAAACAGTCGTGGAGCTAAAGAAATATTTAATGTTGTTTTTTTTGCCTATCTTCTATGAATCATATTACATATGATATATTTATTAATATTAAAAATAAAGGAAACAATAGTTATATAATTAATAGAATTTGGAGAAAATATTATTTATTACTTAAAATTTAAATTTACCAAAATGAGAACAAAACCAATTAAGATTATTATAAAAATAATACAATGTTACATACACACATCTGAAAGTAAGATTCCCTGATTTTTGCGACAAAGTTTGTCCGTGTCTGGTGTTACAGAAGTCAATTGAAGGCGCATATTATTGCCTTGTGCCTTCAAATGTGTTTAATATTTGATTTTCATAGTGTACCTACCCCGAAAAAGCCATTTTACAAAGATACATAGTACCTATCATAAGCTAGTAAGAGCAATTTAACTTTTGATCTTAATATTGAAAAATCTTCTATTATCTGTGGCCGAAATTCAAAACTTGGATTGGTGGTGGGAACAAAAATGAGATAATCTTTGTTTAATATAAATTATCTTTTAATATTAACATAAATTTACGACTTTTTAAAACATGTATAACCAAATTTCGCTCAGAATCGTTTTTTGTTAGCAATGGTTTATTGTTATTTACAGACATATATATTATGTATTCAATTTTCCCGACTTCCCACCTACAACAGTGGTACACTCGTTCCTAGTATTAGCTCTTTTTTTTTTATATTCTTTATAATTATTATAACATAGGGTATACCTATGTACCTATTATAAAACTCAATTATTATAAAGAACGGAGCTATTGTGGTTTATCATAAAAGTAATTAATATAAACCATTATTACATTTAGCAACATTCGTGCTAATACTCGCGACTGAACAGAATGTTATAATGAGTTAGAGCGGGTTGCAAAAATACAAATCAATATACGTATATTATAATACGGGTAACCTACGGGCTGCGGGTGAAATTTTGTCAAGTCCCACGGCACGAGCTGTGGTGAAGACTTTCTACGCACGCACGCACGACCGTCGTCGCGATATTGACACAAGCAGTACGCAAGCGCGACCGGCCAACGACACACAGTCGCAAACACAGGTCGATAGTCTACACCGCCTACCATCAGTTACCACTCGTACAGCCCGACGACCGTCACAACTTTAGTACACTCTCCGGTTTGATGCGTTATCAGGCGTTTGTGTTCGGGATTATTTGCATTTTGTTGTTGCATTCATAATTATTATAATATACCGTAGTCGCTACTCATCATGGTGTTATGATAATATTATTATAGTATGAATCCGACAATCAGTACGTTCGTCCTTATGTTAACAATACAAGTGGTGTTGACGCGTAAGAATATTTTTCATTAATCAAGTATTGTATGTGCAGGTTAGTTGGCTGGCTGGCGCTACTGCGGCTCTGGTGGTGCGGAACGCGACTACGTTGTCCACTCATGTACAATTCTTTGTACTCCCGGGTATCTGTCTGATCGATTGAGTTCGATTTTTTAACGTTCCGTAGAAATTTACGTCATCACCAGCAATGATTAAGTCATAAAAAACAGCGGCTTGACTGTCAACGACCAAGAATCAGGAATCCAGGTCGGTACCGAAATTGAAAATTAAAATACCTTTTGGTTGGTTAGCCGTAACGTAATTTTTATTGATCATTTTTACGCCTTTTTATTTTAGTCACAATAAAACGTACATGTATACCTTTTATTATTTGAGTTCAATGTATGGTCTTCCTCAGTGGCCTAATTAATCGATTCGGAGTCCCTAGGCTCTGTAAAAAATGGAAATAAAATAGCACTCTTATTATTTTCTTATATATTTCTTGTATAACTCAGTTGTACTTTTTACATACAATATAATTAGGCATATTGAATATTTTTTTTTATTAAAAAAAAAAAAAAACAATAATAATAAATAGTACCTAACTTAGAAGTTAATTTTTAATATTTAATAGATAATTAGAGTTGAATTTTATGCAAATCCATTTATTTTTTAAATGAATGTATGCTGTTTGCTAAAAGTACGACATAAATGAAAATTAAAATACCCAATTGGATGGTTAGCCGTAACATAATTTTTTTGATCATTTTTATGTCTTTTTATTTTGTTAACAATAAAACGTACATGCATACCTTTTATTATTTGAGTTCAAAGTATGGTCTCCCTCAGTGGCCTAATTAATCGATTCGGAGTCCCTAGGCTCTGTAAAAATTGGAAATAAAATAGCACTCTTATTATTTTCTTATATATTTCTTATACAACTCAATTGTACTTTTTACATACAATATAATTAGGCATATTGAATATTTTTTTTATCAAAAAAAAAAAAAACAATTACAATAAAAGCAGTAATAATAATTAGTACCTAACTTAGAAGTTAATTTTAAATATTTAATAGATAACTAGAGTTGAATTTTATGTAAAAACATTTTTTTTAAATGAATGTATGCTGTTTGCTAAAAGTACGACATAATTGAAAATTAAAATACCCAATTGGATGGTTAGCCGTAACGTAATATTTTTGATCATCTTTACGTCTTTTTATTTTGTTCACAATAAAACGTAAAAAAAAAAATCAATTACTTATAATAATAATAATTAGTACCTAACTTAGAAGTTAATTTTTAATATTTAATAGATAATTAGAGTTGAATTTTATGCAAATCCATTTATTTTTTAAATTAACTTATGCTATTTGATAAAAGTACGACATGTTCGTGTTTCATAATTTGTAGTACCTATCTATCAAAAAAAGTTGTTTGCACATAAATTTATATTTAACCCTTTGGAAATATTTTAGCTTTTGGAATTTATTAAAGAATATTTTAGCTTATTTTCCCTAAACAGGTATATTGGATTATATATTATATATTAGAGAATATTTTTGCCTTTTAATTTTTAGCCATTGTAACTTGGTAATTTTGAGTGATAAATTATTGTTTGTCGTAGGCTTGAAATCTAACCATAGACATTAATTATTTAGGTAGGTAGATACAAAAATATATTTATTTACTAATTTACCCATGACTCACTAATATTTAATAGGAGATTTAAGATGAAAATAACGACACTGATAGATTTTACCTATAAAATTTAAAAAAGGCACTACGGCCATCTTATCTCATGTGTTAATTAGAGTAATTAACCGAACCTACTTTTTTAAGCCTTTTGTAAATTCAATAGATTTGTGTAGTGATTTATTTAGTTGGTTAGGATTAGGTACATAAAATAATGGGTGCTTTCCAATCATCAATATAATAATTATATTATATTAATTATTATTATTATTAAGGATTGCACAAAACTGCAAAATGTTAGTGTATGTATTTCAGTCCACATAGAAAGTTTTTTTTGTTTTGTGTTAACCATAGGTATATAATACTAGATAGCTAACATACTGTTATTACAGTGCTACTACAACAACATAGGTAATTTATAAAGTGGCCATTGTTTGTAAACAAACATTACCATTTTTTGACATTATTAGGTAATTTGTGGGTTTTAATGCCACTGGTGTTTAATTTACAGATAAGTCATTTTTTGATATCCTAAGCTGTTTTCATAATAATTGGAAAAAACTTATAAATAAACCAACTAATATATGTAACTTATGTTTTTATCAGAAATATTGCTCCAATAAAAAACGACAAACTATCATTCTTAATGCACATTAATGATGTTTTAATTTTGGGAGTTTTTTATGTAATTTTTATTTGGTAGGTACTCTGTGGATAAAATTGTTTGATTAAATAGAAATATTTGAAAATTTAACAGGAGGTTCATTATAAGTCGTACTATGTGTTAAAAAAAAAATCTATATTAGTATTATATAGTACTATATAGTAGTATTTTTTTTTTTTGCATAAATTTTATAATCATATTTTGAAGAAAATCATAAATATTACAGTCTATCAAAATGTATATAATTAAACTTAACCCTGAATCGTTTTTTTCATAGTAATAATTAATCATTGTGTACAATACAAGAGATGTAACTTGAATTCCGTTCTATCCTACCTTCCCAATTCCATATCTACCACAATGGCCCACTCGTTGTGTGAAATATATCTGTTTTTTTTTTTTTTCCATTATTAATGGTATTTGTGTAAAAACTTTGTTTTAAGATGAATAATTGAAGAGTTATTGATCAAACCCAATGATTCTTTACTAAAGGCTAAAGTAATATAAGATGGTTGTATTCAACTATGCTGTTGCTCATCAATACATCAGTGTATATGAATATGAACAATGTAAATCGGAAAAGCATGTATAATTTTTACCACATAATAAGATAATATATGATTGTAAGTCCTTTAATAGCACTTAAAAGCTACATACTGATAAAATATGCTCTAAAAATCAAAAACTGTAAAATATACAAATATATACAAAATCAAATTTAGGATTTAGATTCTTTAAAAAATAAACAGTATTTATGTTTAACTCTACTATTTTTGTAATCTATCAAAAATAATATGCAAATCCTAGAAGTCGCCAACCCTAATTATCATACAATTAATTGTATCTTATTATTATATTGTAGCTAGAAATCAAAATTGTATAGCATACCTAAAATAAGTTAAGAAAATTTAATTTAAAATAATTTCATATTATAGGTATTTTTGCCTATGAAGTCTGTAGATAGAACTTGTGACAAATTAATTATTTATAAATATCGGTTACAAATTTATTTAATGCAGGTACTTACATCACATGTTTGCTAAATTATCTTTTGCACATTTGAATTTTATTTTCCATTTCTTCTTCATTGTGTTTTGCAGGTAAAAGATATATGTTTGGGATACAGTTTTTTGTGACCGAGATTGACTTACATTTATTTGTTTTAGATTTGGAGCATAGTAAAGAGGTCTACTGTTTAGTTTTATTATGATGCGTTTTTGTATTTTAGATTCTGAGTGAAGCGATAAATGTGTTGGTTTTACAATGATGTTTTTTTTTCTGTGGACAATAAATTCCTCTACCAGCAATTTTGCTCCAATTTACAATGATAGCACTATTTCCAAAAGGAAATACTCTTAATAGTCTCTATACTGATAGATAAAAAAAAAAATCCGATGTTAATTGTATTTCTATAGTATTTCATAGCGTACAAAAACTTAAAGTATTACCAAAATTACAAACATTAGGTTTATAGGTAAACTATTTTTTTTTCTTTAAACATAAATTTGTATTACAGAGTTACAGAATTGTGTATACAGAGAATCATAATAACAATTATTAATATTAAGCGTGATTGCAATACCTACGCGCAGTGCGAGGCTATATTGTTATTATTGCTCACTCATACAACGTATTTTACTTGTTTTTTTATATTGTAATTTTTATGGACATTGTTCATGTATCTATTATACACTTATATCCATACATGTCATTCAGTTTTATATAATAGTTAATTTTTTTTATAAAATAATAATAATACATATTTACGAAAATGAAAAATATTTTTATTAGAAAAAATATTCAACAGTATTTATACAAATTATAAAAGAAAGCATATTTACAATTATTTCTAGTCAGAATCTGTATCTTCATCAGATGACGTGTCTCCTGAAATTGCGGTCCTCAAATCTGCTGTTTCCGCGGACAAAACTTCGTCAATGACAACATCGATGTCATATAATTTTTTTTCCTCCTTTTTTGTGTGGTTGATAAAATGTTTCCACATCGCTGCGTCCACACGATTTACGCCTTCAACTAATAATTGTTTGACATCTGGCAGTTTGTATTGTTCATACTTACATGATTTTTAACTGAAGACCAAGCCAGATCGATTGGATTGAGTTCACAGTGGTATGGTGGCAGTTTTAAAATGGTCTTGTTATGGGCTGCGGCAAGTTCATCAATGACATATCTTTCATTTTGTAGCTTTAGGCGTTTTACTATTTCGAGCAGTTCAGGAATCACCATAGACGTATCAATAATTTCTCCCTTGTCAGTTAACCACTTAATAATATCCGCCTTCCGAGGGCTTTGTCAATCTTAACTGAGTGGGAGGATGCATTATCCATAACGAGAACGGAATTTGGTTTTAGTCTGGGTAAAATATTTTCCATACAATCCCTGAAGGTGTCCCCATTCATTTCATCGTGATAATCTGCCGTGTTTTTTTTTGATTCAAAGCACAATAACAAAACCATCTTCGGAACCGATATTAAGGACAATGAGCCTTTTGCCTTTGCGTCACGGTGAGATTTCATTGTTGTGTCGACACATGTTTTGGATGTACAATCACCTGCATTTAACCACGTCTCGTCTAGGTAGTAAATGTGTCGACTTTCCTCACGGAATTGTGGAAAAAAGTTTCTTAAATATTTTCTTCGCCACACAACCAATTCATTTGTTTCTATCAAAGCACTATTTCGGCTACGTTTAATGTAACGGAAATTCAACGCTTTCAAAAGGCGAAATAAATTTGTGCGCGATATTGACGGTAGACTATCGTCGGTGGATACAAGTTGATATATTTTGTCTACAGTTGGTATTTCACGCTTTAATCAAATACCGTGGACGTATCTACGCACTAAATTTTTGTCAAAATCGTCAGTCATCAATAAATGATTTTTTAAAGGAATTGAGAACGTTTTTGCTAGGTTGTATTCCTTGAAGACAGAATCAATTATTGTTTTACCAATACCCGTAGATTGCGAAATAAGTTTACAAATTTTGTAAAAAGGCAAATTTGGAAACAATGACAAATTTATTGTAGCGATCCTTCGTTGTTCACCAATAGCCTGCAATCAGAATGTATTATAATAAAATAAATGAAAACATGCAGACTGAAAGTAATTTAATTCATTGAAAATCGCCTAACAAAAAAAGTACAAATCATAATATCATAATTGTAAATTGAGATGCTTACTTTACCACGTTTATTCGTCTTAACAGGTGATGGTGATATAGTCTCATCTTCATCGCTGTTTGATGTGCAGTAAATTATAAATAATTAACTTGTGTAGTGAATTGAAAACAAAAAAATATGCAAAGCGTGGATTGTTGTGAGAAGTGACAACGATGTCGCGTCACGGCCATAAGTATGTTAATACAGCTCGCTGTGTATACTCGTCATTTTGTGGCGGTAGACGACGACAGCACACTACCGGCAACGAACGTAAATAGTACCAGCGCGAAATATGACGCGTTTTCGTCACGCATTTGTCCACTCTTTGGAATAGTTTAGTATAGTTTAGTAATTTAGTAATTGGTGATTACTCGAAACAGTATCAGTAATCATTCTTATTTCTTTCCATTTTATTGACTTCTAATAACTAATATTACCTATATTACTATTTTCTTATCGCGGACGGTGTATCAAAACATTCATAACAGCGGCGTGCCTGCACAATAACGTTCTTATCTCGCGCAAAGTATAATAATATACAATAAGCAAAATAAAATAACCCATAGTTTACTATTATGAGCAAATGCTAAGTAGATCATTATAATCATTTCTAGATGATTCTAGAATCCTAAATGAAATAGGTAGTTGCTAATTGCTATTGTTCCTATTCTAATTTTGATCACACACATACCATATAATATTTAATTATTATATAAATAATTGAATGACCCTTATTTAGGTACATTTTATTGTATCGTTTGTTTCATTTATTGAAACCGTCCGCGTATCGTAAAACACCGTATACAAAATTAACGCGTATAATCAAAATAAATTTTTAAATTTTAAAATGCGATCAGACAGTCAAAAACGTTCTGTAGTGTGAGAGCATTTTTAAAAAAAATGCCGATAAAAGTGTAGTTAATTGTCAAATCTGTAAAAAAGAATTAAAGTTTTACGGAAATACAACTAATTTAAAAGGTAAGAATGTTGTAGATTTAGTGAATAATGAGTGTTAGTGCTCAGAATCTAAAATGATATGAATTTTCACGATTTATTGAGTGATCCTTATCTACTCGATTAGGTACATCGAATAAATCATTCGATTATGAAAATCAAAATGTTTATCGATTAGATAACGATCTTTATTCGATTATTTTAATAGAGTGAATCACTCGATTATGATAATATCTCGATTATCGAAATCATTCAATTATTCCCATCACTATCCATAACCATGCCGGCGGTGATTAGCAACGAATGTTCGACGCGTAAAATGATTAAGTGATGAAAAAACAATACAACAACGGCTCTTATTATATCTCGTAACGCAGCCGATGAAATAGACCACGGTCTTAGAGAAACAGGTCCGACGACTTGTCTTTATCAGGCGTCAGCTTGTTGAGATGATTTTAGTTAAGATTTTACTCAATAGTGCTGCCGTTTATATTTATTGAGGTTATGAATCTTATATAATAATACTATTAATTACAATAGGCGCTAGAATCCGGCCAAATTTTAATAATTGTTGGTGTATTTGATATATACATAATATTGTTATTCACTACTGTTGTATGCATAGGTAATACTACGTCTTGCTGATTATTATTTTATCCTTAATTTATATTTTAAGTATTTATCACCCTCCTAATCCCAACTACAAGTTTCATAATCGTGGTTTTAATATTTTAATTAGGTTTTTAGGTATTATTAAATTATTTATTTTTATAGATTACCTTAGTTACACGGATGAAATGAAAAAAAAAATGTAAAAGTTTGGTTAAAACGTATCTATGGTAATTAATATGAATAAAAATAATACTACAGATCTATGTGCCATATTATTTATTGTCCTTTACGTGTGAAATATATGACAAAACAACCCTCAATTTTTTTTAATCGCTATTTTGCTATTATCGCTTATATATATACTAGCT